TGAGGCAAAAAAATATAAGTTATTTTAAAGCAATTAAATTATAAATAATAGGTAATAAGGTTTAGACACGCATGTTTATCATCTTGTCCTACCTGCAAGATGTTAATGCGGTAAGCATACATCGCTATATTATACGAGTATATCACCAGATATTACTATGTAATGTTCTAACACTACTCCTAACGATCTCAGAGTGCGCTTAAGTGAAACAAAAAGACATGAAAAGAGATTAATCAATATTGCAGATAATGGTTTTCTTCGCGAATAGAATTTCAAAAACTATTACGTATATATAAACATTACTCGCAAATCAGTAAAATTAATGTAAAAAATGTCCCTAACAAATAATTATAATAAAGTGAATAAATTGAATACCCACCATTGAACTTTAGGTTTTTTTTTATTATCGGGAAAATTATTTATTATAATGTACTGTTGACTGTACTTAATGATATATGTGTAATGTCTAATTTTTTATACCTTATATCAACAGAATACAATCTTTTATCATCTGCCGGCAACCGCAAGTATGATAACTGATAATAAATCATTTGACATTGGCCTTCATAATTTCCCTGAAATAAGATTTTCTACATGTTTCAATTAAATTGATTATTAGGTAATTAGCTAAATAGTAACATTATATAATAATAGTAAATATATGGCGGCGTATATTAAGTTCGTAACAGATGGTTAGGATTCTATAATATGATATCTTAAAATTCACACATGCTTAACATAATATCATATTTTCATATCTTAATGATGCCAAGCGATATCTTATATCATTTTAACCGTCTGTTATGAGATTTTATGTTCACCAACAATATCAACATCAACCTTTTCATATGTCCACTACAGGGGCTCAGGCCTTCCTTATATATATGGTCAAAGATATTGGGTCATTATCCTCCACGCTGGGCCAATGCAAATTGGTGGGTATTAATGACTGCAAATGCAGGTTTAACGTGGCTTTCAAAGCACAGAGTAGCTCAAGATTTTTAAATTATTTATTATTAATAACTTTGCGAAAGTTGCTTAACAACAACGTTAATATCCAATACGCCATCGAGCTAACTCCCTAACCAACTATTTTTTTCCTAAAACAACTCACACAATATTGTACCAATTGTATCGATGTACTAATTGTATTCTAAAACGCACTAAGACGGTTACGTTGTGTTAATGGTCGATGTTATATGTATGTACAATGTGTTATTTACAGGTATAGAGTATTCTACCATTACAATGTAAGCCACAATGTACTATTGGCCGTTCCCAACCACTCTAACAGATATGTCGTTCATACTAGCTATTCCGATTAATCAACAGTATTCCAACCATAGTGTAGACCGAAAGTTATCTGCTCATTCTTGGTACAAATGCATGTCACCGATTTATGGTGCAGGGAGTTCAGTTTTGGCGATGTTTATAGGCTACTTAAAATCAACGGATACTCTAGGGTTGCCAAAGTGGTAAAAATATCGATATCCATAAAAGAGTTTAATCAGTTCCAATAAATTGAACAAATCTTTTTATTTATAATAAAATATAAATAATTAACATATGTGAAACATAAATAGTTATAACGGTCGCTACCAAGAAATAATAATACTTATTATTTCACTTATAGAGCAGAAATAAAAAATGCAAATAATATAGTGGTAATAATAAGTGTGCGTATAATTTTTGTATTTACTTAATGAGTTTCATTTTATGGATCTACATTTGGATCATACCAGAGTCTGGTTTCACAAAATTGTCCGTTTTCAGTTAGATGAAAATTGGTAGTTCTGTTGCACAAACTATACTTAATTTTAAAAAGTTTGCTCTTGTTCAACGGCATTGAGACTTGACACTTTTTAAATTAATTATGTTTACCATTTCTCATATTATTATATTAATAATTATTATAATTTATTACTTAGTATTTCTGCATACACCATTTTTCTTCTATGTATCAAAATTCTGTTCAATTTAGCTAATTTTGCTTTTGTAATATTTATCGTAGTCTAATGAAGGTTTAAACGGTGAGACTGAGAGGTGATGCGGTTGATATATATCCATACGATGCACACCGGGTTATTGGGAATTGTGCGTGTATGCTTATACGTGTATTTTATTTAAAAATTATATGTAAAAACCGTGGTAATATTAAAGTCATGTAACTTATATTATAATCAGTGGTCGCCGTAGGTAGTGCCATTGAGTATATATTAACATGGAAATTCCTCGGGATTCGATATATTATTAAAATCGATATTGTGTCAACTTATTTTAAACATAAGTATAAAACTAACAATAATATTGTTTTGTGTTTTTTCTTTGGTAGATATCGTTTAAAGCCGTAAAATGAAATTGTACATGAGTTGATTGTGAATGAATTATTATAATTATTAATAAATTATTGTAAATGGACAAAGATGTTATAAACAAAAACCAATTACAGTACAATCGGGGACCCGTATTGGTAATAAAGCGATTTCTTCTAGTTAAACGTTAAAGATTGGAGAGCTTGTGTTATGTTGAGTAACATAACTAGAGGATAGGATATGAATACTGTCTCGATTTTAAGAATAAACCTTATTCAACGTTACGTTGTACGCTGAAGCGTGTGTGAATACCTAATTTTAGCTTCAGTTTTAATTATGTTGTGTACTTAGATATTAATATTACAAAAATTAAGTGTTAGTGACAAAAAAAAAAACAACAATTACAAATTAAACAGTTTATTAAAAAAATATTGTGGCAGGGGAATAAAATATATTTTGTTTCTTCAATACAATCATTTGATTTAAATAAATAACCATATGTTTTCTATATTTTCTGTCTTCAAACAATTTCTATTAACATTTACAATCTATTTAAATAATCGAAAGCCCTCTACTGATGTCAGCAGTGCATGTTTATGATTTCAAACATCAACATAAAACAGCTGACCCCGTGTACGGTTTTCACTGTAATCCCTTATTACTTCTAGATCTGGGCTACGAGAAAGAACTTGTTCCAGTTTATTCTGTATAGTGTCAGTTGCAATCCAATATAGTATGGTTCGTACCTCATCGAATATTTCAAATGTTTTTATTATTCAAGTATCGGCAAATTAATTAAATAAATTAGACAAAGCTATTTATTTATTATAATATTCTGCTGTCTTAAGCTATATAACTCACCTCGCAATAACGGGCTATGGAGGCAACGGAATACCGGGACATTTCTTTGAAAATTCTTACTCTTTGTAGGGAATTAAAAAATATTGTTTCATATTTATAATCAAAGTATCTACGTCCAGATATTCAAATCGAACTTTCTCTGTTATTCGATGCAGAGCATGAGCTAAACATGGTCACATCTTTCATGTTTAGTAATGAAGTTTTTCAGATACATCCTGCTGACAACATATATATACGTCACCCCACAAACTTTTAAAAAAAATAGTTACAAATTTGATACAGTGCATCCATTAACCGCTTCGAACGTTATACATGCAACTAAATATGCTTTTTTGTGGTATCCAAGTTTAATTGCTTCACCAAAAAGTGCGCTACGGATAGCTCCTTTCAGGATCCTGGATCCCCCCCCCCCTCCCCTCTTAGTGATGGTCATTTAAAAAAGAAAGTATTTTCTGTAGTCGGGATGGTACCCTTGTTGGTATATTCTTATAAGGAAAAAGTCTGAAATATAATCTAGGATATAGCCACACTGCTGCCGAGTCAAATTCTTCGGCGCGCCGCTGCGCGAATTTCAGCCGCGGCGCTTATGTCTAGATCAGGCATAAAAACCTAATAAATAGATTAAAAATTTTATCCCCTTAATACGGTCCTGTAACAAAATAATCTTGTCAAATCTCGATCTCTATACAAAGAACTTTCATACAAACTTGAAGCACTTCTACCTTAGTTTCTAAGATTTCATGATTAATGGTAGCTCATGTAAACATGTAATAATAAAACAGATAACTTACTACTTATATTAAGACATTTACATGAAATTTAAAAAAATGTATATTCGAAGATACGATGTCGTACAGCACCATAGGGAAAAAAGAGAATACTGCTAATGAGAAAGCAATGAACCAGAAAGAGATCGCATGGGTGACATCAACGGGTACATTTCAAAAATAATAATTTGTGACATTTTTTTAACCGTATTTTTTTTAATCTCAAAGTAAACATAAAAAAACACTTGCCTGTGAAATGATATACCACCCCTCGTGTACCTCTAAATTTTAGGGCACTTTCCACACCATTTAATTGCACTAGTTGTGCATTTTTTGTAATTGTTTTTAATTGTTTTTAATTTTAAAATAAGAGGGCGCATCATACCAGCCTATGCATTAATATAACTTTGACTGATGGAAGAATTCGGTGTTGTATTTGAAATAGAGTATTTATTAATTTGAAGCGCTTACCCCGTATGCTCACTTCATCCTACTCCATGGTTCCAATGATACAATATTTATCACCTTACATTATCGTATACTATTAGCTTCATGATAAAATATGACAGGAACAAAGATAAAATATTAATATTTTAATTTTTTCGGGCATCTTTTATAATATTCTGATGAAAGTTACGGAAAGAAATGTTAAATCATCCATAAAGTTACTAATAGCCTGAAAAAAAAAAAAAAATTTATTTAAGAGCAAGTACTATAGGCAAGAAATACGTTGTTATTTATGACCACCATTTTATATATCCAGAGGTTGACGACCGATTTACATTCACTTATTCACGTAACTACATGTATTAAATTATTTAATGCATTAAAAAAGTATATTTTAGTTAAGGTTTGTATAATTATTATTACCAAATGTGGCACTACTTGGTGTCTTTTTAGTTTAACCAATAAGTATACTGTAGCATATAGTATAAATATTAGCATTTTTTAAAACAGTGATGTTAAATGTTATTGAATTTGATTGTATCAATTATAATAGTTAACATTTATTTTTGGTCAGTTTATCTACTGAAAATTAAACATTTTATTTTTGTTCTAGGAGACGATGGTTAGGTCTCCGAAAGCCGTCGCAGGGCAAGGAGAAGGCGCCTAGCGGTGCACAATCGCCTGCTACGGCGGACAAACCTGCACCGCTCATGAAGAAACCTTCCGATAGGAAACTGATTAAGGTTTGTAATCAGTTTTATACTGTCTTGTCTAGTTATATAAGTGTTATCATTGATCTATCAATTGCTAAGCTTATTTAAATTCAATATGTTTAACATGTATTGACGCAATTCAAAGAGATATATGTATATACATATTCTTTATCGTGATCAGTTGCCGTATGCCGGTGATGGCGGGCGTAACGAGGACGGTGCGGCAAGTTCGGGCGAATGCAGTAACAGCACCGCCCTCGATGAGGTTGAAGATGATGCTGCTGATGTGGAACTACCGCCACCCATGAAACCCATACAGGTATCACCAGTACATACATTACAACCTAGATACACCTAGGGTAAATTTATTTATTCATTAGAAGTCATATTGGCTGACAGTCCTGTTAGGTCCTAGGTAGCCCGGTGGTTAGAGCAGTCGCCCGGATTGCGAAAGGTCATGAGTTTGAGTCCCATCTTCGAATGCCAGGGATAAAGCATTTTTCATTACCAATATTTTTTGGTCTAGCACAATCCGATTGCAAAATTGGTCAAATATAATAGATTTAAATTACTTCAAATTAAATCTACACTCGTAGTATTGTATGTAAAACACGCTGTGGTTTAAAACTCAATCTTTTATGTGTAAGTTTCCAAAGATCAGTAAGTTAACGGATCAGAGCTAGGTAAAATCTTATATGTTTAGTCTAACTTCTCTAGACACTTTCCACAGAGTAATCTCACCGAAAGTTCAAATAACGTATATTCTGTTTTTGTCGTTTTTTGGGATAGCTTTATGACTTTATAATATATATATATATATTCTATTGTGTAAGTTTCAATATGGTTAAATGGATAGGTATTTTTTTATTATAAATTTTATTAAGTTACTCTTGGTGATAAAATGCGTGCGATTATATACCAACAATAGATTGAATTTTTATTTAAGCCAGTTATTTCAGCTGAGCTTTAATTATTCAAAAACGTTTGTGTCATTTGCGATCGTTCGATGTTTTCAATTTTTATCTTCCTCTTCCTTTCGACAGTTTCAAGTCTTCCTAGATTGACTCTAGAACAAAATTTTGTTTTTGCATTTCTTTTCAACAAAACTGATTTTCTATTTTGTAACATTATTCATTTGTAAAAACTGTCATTTATAGAATATTTTTATAATACGTTTCTGAACGAAACCACCCTTGTTGCTTTCGCTCCATCATGTACTAATTTAAGTTATAACCATTACCATTTCAAAGTCTGTTGTTAAGGTAGGCGAAAAAACAGACATTGACCCAAAATATAATATTATGTAAGTGTTGGAAATTAACAATACGTATCGCTATCCATAGATATCGTCATTCATCGTTTCCGCGGATTACTGCTTATTTAAGCTTCCCGTACAAAAAAAAAAACACATATGCAGAGTCCTATGGATAACGATACATATTGTTTACTTTCAACGATAACATAATATTTCTTATTTTAACCCTAGGACCAGACATTTGCATAATATTTTTAACGTTATGTTTACGGAAAGGTCAGATTTTTACAATAAAAACATCGTTTTGATTGTAATAGAGTAAACCATGATTGCTTTGCTAATCCGCAAAGTTAACTTTCAATTAAAAGGCAGTACAAAATAATGCTTGACGAGTATCTGACATCAGCTTATTTATAACCATTGCGGATCAAAGGCTTTTTACTCATTGAAGGATTTTACTCGTGTTTTAATTGGAATGTAGCAGTTTGTACGCATCATAATATACGTACTAAATAGGAAACCATAGTATATTTGATTGCGGAGGGCAGCATCTGCCGAGTGATTATATTAATGAGCTTAATGGTGGCGTCGGATTGAAACGAAGTGGTGCAGCAGGATTTTAATTCATCGCGATATTGCTACATATTCGCGTTGATTAATTTGTATATGTATTGAGCTGCTTGTTTAAGCTTTGCAATCCTATGAGTATATTACGTTACTACGCTTTTTATGTTGTCTGACTAGCTAGCATCGTAGTTTAGATTATTTCATTATTACTTATCGAAATCAAACTGTTGTTTTTATGTTTATGAATTATTTAATAAATTCAAACAATAGAAACTAGCTTCCATTTTTTTTATTTATTTTAAAAGTTATAATACTATTATCCGAGGTATAAAAGAAAATAGAGATATTTTATTTGAGTTTTAGTATTAGTTTATTTGGTACAATATTGGATAGCAATACCAAGAGGTGGATCGAAGTGACTTTGCTTTAGGTGCAGGTAGAAGGGTGGGCAACCGGGAACTCATTGGGTGAGATAACGTAATCTACGTATTCCCTCAGCTATGCAACAAAATCACTGCGGTTGGAGGATTCGCATTAATGTGTAACATTATTGTTTATGGTTTTCACTGTGCAGAGACTAGAGCTCTAATTTGAGTTTTTATTATTAATGAAAATGCTGTTTTTGAATTTAATTACATATTATTTCTTTTTAATACCAGTGGTCGGCCACTGATTTTATTTCGCTAAATTACTCTCTTCGTGATTGTTTATTGTTGATTTCAATAAGATTTGAGACATTTTGTGTGGGTGTGTGTGTTTGTCTCTAAAAACTTAGACAAGTTTTTAGAGACAAACACACACACCCACATTTCCCTTTGTCCATAGACATTAGACAGTCAAAAACCAATGAAATCATTATGCTTATAAATCAGCAAAATATTTGTTTCATTTTATTTTTTAAAGGGAAATGAAAAACATAACGTAGATAGATACAATTTGCAACAAAATGAAAAGAAAAAATAACTGTTTTTATTAACATTAATACTCGTAGTAAGTCAAATTATTTATTACAACTCTCATTTGTCATTACGAAATTTTATAACGTTAGCATGTTATGCTTATGAATAATATTTTTATTTATCAATTAATACCTCTTTTTCTTTTTCGATAAAGGAGTAATACTTCTTTTTTATTATTCAACTCACTTATTTACACGAATTAGTCAAAGGAACGCCAACCATTAGCTGTTTATATTATTAAGAGTGAAATGTTTAATAATCGAGTTGTTTACACAGGATCCCCAGGCGGTTTTGCAAGCCCCAGTCCAGCCGGCCACAACGTCGATTCCGTCACGGGTAAGCGTGTTACACAGTTAGATATTTCTCAATCATTGAATCGATAACTCATATCTTAATCTAACTCTTGTAACTAACCCTGTGGATTCATCTAAGGATAGTTAGGTGATGCGCTGGTTAATTTTTCAGGCCTCATTATCTCTTGAAGCGTTGGATAGTAATGGTGGTCCTGCTGATATCGCTGAAATAGAACAGATCGTTATGGAGAAAATGGTTCGATACACGCCTAAAGCATGTAGAGTGTGCATGTAACATTATGACGCGTGCGTTTGGTAGATTGATCGCTTTCTTATTTTCGAATTGATTTTCACTAGCATATTGTTAAGACATTAGTCTGGTAACAGGCTTTGAACCCGTCGGGCGGCAATCGTTTTCTGTTTGTCTCTCATTCTCTCTCTCTCCCTCTCCCTCTAACTCCCTCCCCTCTCCCTCTGACTCCCTCCCCCTCTCCCTCTCCCGCTCTTCCTCCACCTCTCTCTCCCTCCCCTCCCCCCCCCCCCCCTCTCTCTCTCTATGTGTGTGTGTGTGTGTGTGCGCGCGTGCGTGCGTGTGCGTGAGTGCGTGCGTGCGTGGGTGCGTGCGTGCGTGCTTGCGTGCACGCGTGTTTGTACCTAATGTTATATCAATCCCAAAATTTCATTTCAATATAGTAATTGTATGATATATGATATTTGTTTATCCTTGTGTCTCTGCATGCATGACTGGATTTTCTAAATACAACATTGAAAGTGTAACTCTATGTGATATCTGTAACATTTTGCAGTATGGCAATCTGTTGATACAAAAAGACTAAAGCTAGTTTTCATCCTACCAAGCTTTATGTTTTCAATTCAGTAAATAACTAATGTGACACTAGTAAACATATTAAGTTATAGTTTGTCGGTGTATACTTTATATATTGTTTTTTAGTTTAGCTTAGAATCGTCACCGTATGCTTTCTTATTAAAGAAGGGTAAGGTTTTAATTCTTTTACCCTCTTATTTTTTATTAAAATACTATACTAGGTATACTTTTTGAATCATTCAGACTTCGTAGAAAAAGAAACTTGTTTTGTACCGTATCAAAAGTGCAAATACTTGTTACCTATTTAGGTGGTTGTGGTCATGTGGAAAAATTGTGGTTGGGTTTCATAGTTTATACATCAGTTTGCAATTGCCATCGTAATCTATGCTAGATGCTTCTCACCTTGCATGCACTTTGACATTTTTTTTCCTTGTGCGTCTCACTGGTGGTTTAAAAAATATATTATTTAATCATTAACCTTTATACAGTGCCGGATTAAGGCTACTTGATTCCCTAAGTTCTCATTCATCATTATTTATAAACACATGTATATTTAATGTGCCGAGTTAGATTATTACGTACCCAAGGATATGAATGAAAGTTAAAAAGATTTTAAATACATACTTTTATACTGTGCTTTTTCTGGTACCCCCCTAGGCTTGACGCCCTTAACAATTGCGTTTTTGCTTATGGGTTAATCCGGCACTATCTTAATATCTGTAGTTATAAAGAGGGTTGGCGCATTTGTATCAGTTATGGAATTTTCGTTTATATATTTAAGTTATTTTTAATTTATCACGTATTTAAAATGAACCTATTTACAAATATGGCAGCAGTATTAAATATCCCATTCTACTGTTAATAACATTATGAATTTCATACGTAAAATACAACCTCGTTTAAAATCAAAATTACTTTTCAGTTGCCTCGTTGCTTTCTGTTTTGATCTGATTATAATTGAAACTCGTGAATATTTCAGCAACATTTCGTTTGGTAAAAAATAATCGTTACAATATTACTACTGAATAATATTTATTTCAAAACCATATTGCACATGGAAATTGAATATTTCAGCAATATTTCGTTCGTTTAAATATAGTCGTTACAATATTACTAATGAATAATATTTATTTCAAAAGAATATTGTAGATAGAAATCAAAGAAGAAAATTGCTTTAAAATGGGAACCGGTGAAAGTTAAAATTTCAGTTAACAATCAAGTTAGTCTATCACGTTTTAAACTGTGTGACAAATTAAAAGATCCGGTCATGGTATCAAAGATAAAAAGGTTTCTTCCTTTCTTTTATTCTAAATTGCTTTATATTTTCCAACTTTCACATTATACAACGAAGCTGTTCCTAAAACCAAATAAAATAAATGAAGACTAACATTTATATATTAACACTCTGTGTGATTTAATTATATCAGTTTTGTCACTAAATTATAAAAATACGTATCAAACATATTATGCACTACAATATTCTACAAGTAAAATATAAATGAAAAAAAAAATGAATACGACTGCTCAGGCAAAATGTACAAGTAGGTTTTTGTAAAGTTTTTATTTTTGAATATTGCATTATTAGACAATGCAAAATTTATTTAAAACGATAGTTTTGTTTATTGGCATAATTATTTCCAATAATATAATCAACTCCTGAAATGAAGATGACAACTCCGCAGTCTAAGCGACCACAGAGTTCACAATGTATTCAAAAAGTCTAAAAGAATACATTTTATCCTAATAACGTCGCCCGGTTAGTATTTTTTAAAATAGCTGTCTACGTATGCTTCTTATCGTATTAGGTTTGCTTAGATTTCTTTTTGTGCTGATTTGTAACAAAGGAGTACTGGTAATTATTTAGAATTGTAGTTTGATTTATTGTGTGTACGATTAGTAAATTTATTTAATTCTGAATTAAAAAGGCCAACGGACTATCCATCAAAATCCGCAAAGTATCCTGGGTTTCTGTGTTGTGGTTAATTTGTTGATGGCATCTTCCGGATCGATGTAAGACAATCCTTCAGAGTATGTGAGTAAACGGCCCTGATAAATAAATGTACCCAACGTACGTTGCGTACGTTCGTTTTTGCAGTATAAATAAGCTGATGGTTATAAATGACGCAACCTCAAAACATGAAATATGCAATGATTCAGTGCGATTGATATAAACGATTGATATTAAACGATTTATTTGTATACTTACTTTATTAGCATCCGGAAAGTTTGCATTTATTTGTTTAACGTGCGTATAATTCAAGTAAATATTTATATGAACATTGTTTATATTCTTATGCTACTAATAGAGACAATATAATAAGTTTTAGGAAATATAACACTCTACACACTACCTGATCATTGAATGATGTTAGGTTGTATACTTAATCTATACTTACATTTCTTTATATTCATACTTATATATTTATTTAAAAACTAATGTAATTTAATAAAACAGTAACAAATGGATAGTCTTTATGTGTTTACTTGGCTCTTATCACAAAGTGTATTATTAGAAACCATTGTTCATTATGTTTTATCGCATCGCTAAATTGTAAATCGTATTAGTTTTAACAAGTGCCTTATATTATATATTGTTATTGAATCTCAAACATAATTTATTATTCATTCGCGCTTCGCTAAATATTAGTGACTAGCACAAATCACCCTCGATGTAATTAAATTTTACAATTTATTACCAATTTCACAGGGTAAATAAATAAACATATCTCATACATATCTAAAACAAAAAACTGTCAAGTTCTAATCGAATTTCTGTAGAGGTTTTACGTCAAAACATTTTTAATACTCAAATTTGTAGTCAGCAATTTGACGAAGGACCTCCATGTTATTCGGACTCGAAGATTTTTCGTGATAAAAGCGCAAAATTAAACCGGTATCTTACCGGTACCTGTGAAACTGGGCTTAAAACTGTTACTATAGAGATAAATGGAAAACATAGTTACGTGTGATATGTTGGACAGCATTTACACAACAATCAAGAACAACACGGGTCAGGGCAGAGCGCGGGGTCGGGATGCGGGCGTGAGGAGGAGCCCGGCACTCCGCCCCCCGCCGCCGACTCGGTAGAGGCTATTCTCAAGAAGCGCGAGTATGTGTTACGTGAACTTGTTGACACTGAGAACATCTATGTTGAAGACCTGCGTCTCGTATGCGAAGGCTACATACGCCATTTTCAGGTAACAAAAAACATCGCTCATCGAAATTAATTAAACTAATGTCTTTATTTAAAGTGAAATTTACGGCGCGGTGTGCGTTGTCTGGTGACTAATTACAAAGTTTGAAATTAAATATAAAATTTCAATATAAATAAAGTACCTTCCCTCTGAAAACGATCAATTAGAAAAATTACAGTACGAATCTTCATTTTGCACTAATGGACGGTGTCATTCGTGTAGTTTGCTTATTTCAACTTACAAATTCTTCTTTTAATGCCTAAATAAATGAAGGACACAATTTTTTCACCTTTACTGCCCAAGACTAAATGCTTCAAAATTCTTAAAAAAATGGTTGAATCTATTCAAATATCCCCATTTACTTGTTTTAAAAACCGACAAATAAAGTTTGACACCACTTGCTGCTGGACACCCTAAAAAGAAAAAAAACGGATTTACCTCGTGTGTTCATAAGTTTTGAGACAAACTTTTTACTGAAAATGTAAAATGTTACTGGCTGTTATTGATTTTTTCACCGATTTTGAATTCGGAATATTAACTTTTAGTTTATTTATGGGTATGTTCCGATATACACTGCGACCACTGAACAGTATGACGTCAATTTAGTATACTGGAAGCCCGTTCCTTTATAGCTAGTTATACTGGTGACTTTTCAAAACGGAACGCAGTCCAGTATACTGTTAATCCTATTTTTTGGCGCCATTTTCAAATTTGTTAATGCAAGGTAAATAAATATAAAGATTCCCTCTTTTCAAAAGAAAATATTATAAAATTGGAAAATTGTATAAAAAAATTATTTATCCATCTTATAATAAACGTAAGTATTTTATTTTTGTTTATTTAGAAACTTATCATTTTCTGATTCTGTTTCGACTGATCACGTGATCAAAAGCACTGCGAGCACCTTACCTCGAAATCTCCAGTGCTCACAGTACAAATATGGCGGCAATTTATAACGTCATGAATTTCCCTAGGGTACTGTAGCAGTGTACTGGCAGTCCATAACGGAACGGATTTTTTAGCAGTAAGACCACTGCGCAGTGCTCGCAGTGTATATCGGAACATACCCTATATCTCAAATTCATTTGTTAATATTTTCTCGTGATGGAGGGAACGAATCAATTATGTGCAACTGTCATTTCGCTATTTAAGGCGGGAAAAAAACCGATGTAGATTTTTCACGAGCTGAAAAGTTTATACAGCGGTACAAAGAGAAAAGTTCTTTACAAGATCGCCAAAGGAGTGGTCTGCCACGCTCTGTGAGGACGCCTGCGAACATCAAAATCATCCGAAAGCGACTTCGTCGAAATTCACGTCGCATTCAGAAGAAACTTGCTCTGCAGGCTAATAATAATATTTCGAGCGTTTCAGTGAATAGAAAAGTTCACTTTTTAAACAAGCGTCTTCGTAAGTTACGACACGATCGTTGTCATGTTCGATGCCAGGAAGATACTTTTCAACGACGAGGAAATTTTTACTGTTGAAGAAAAGTTCAAACGCGAAACAATAAATTGTACGCTAAAAGTAGCAAGGAAGCCCGCCCCAGCTTCTGCACGGAATGTCTCACGCACACATCGCGCATCCGTGCATCCGGCTAGTGTGATAGTATTGTGGGGAATTTCGTATGAAGGTGTCACTCTGCTCCATTTCTGCCAACAAGGTGTCAAGGTGGAAGCCAATAATTATCAGAGTGACATTTTAGAGCCCGTGGTGAAACCCCTGTCTGATACGTTATTTCACAATAAGGATTGGGTTTTTCAGCAAGACTCGGCGGAATTTCGCTAGAAAAGATTCGTGCCGCCATTAATAACTGGCCAAATCGTCTAAGGGCCTGTATTAAAAACAAGGACGGTCATTTTGAATAAAATGTATATTTTATTGTTGATTATTATCTATTTAATGGTTACTGGAAATTTTAGAAATATAAGTCTTAATTTTTAAAAACTTTACGTAACTTTTATTTCGTCTCAAAACTTATGAACACACGAGGTAAATTGTACGTCACTTGAGAGCGTTGAAATGTGAACATCCTATGCTCGTACTTTTGATTCTCGATGTTATATTTTATAGAGGACGTAATAATTAACACAGGCGTAATAGTTTATGAGGCTTTTAACGAATTCATGGGTTATGCAAACTTTTAAATTGCTTTTCATAATTTTGCAATGATGAGAATAACTGCACAGTTCATATTAAATACATTTGATATTAAATGTTACACGTTATACGGAACACATTCAGATAAGTTTCTTGTTCAGCATAGTATTCAAAAACATAAGTTCCGTTCAGATTTATATGAATTAGATCAAAAATGATTTTATCTACTTTAAACGCTGTATAGCATTTATTCTCATTTTCGAAAAACGTAAAGTTAATTACTTTTATTTTTAACTAATCTCTAATTCTGCTACATCATGTCAGTCTATACTTCTGTGACAGAACGCAAATCCCGATCCTCCGATTCCGGAGGGGTTACGTGACCGCCGTCACCGCATGATATTCGGCAACATTGAAGCCATCTACGAATGGCATCGAGAGTAAGTACACACTGTTCAATTATTGTACAGTCGACGACAAAACTTTAATACAATTAGCTTGTTGTAATTGACGCTTGGTGATAACTAACGCTTTTATGTTTTGTCTGCAAGTGCAACCACTGTACTTAGTGATTCGGTTTCGTGATTGTAATTTAATAATGTTTTTAATCAAATAATAATTCTTTAAATAACTTAGTAACATATCGCTTATTCAACAGAACAATAACATAACTGTAGTAAATTTAATTGCAACAAATATAATATAATGAATCTTCATTTCTGCACTTGCATTTATGCTCAGAGCAGAAATGCCCGTTCCGACAACAGTGACCACGTACGATTAAAATATATAATGAGTCTTAGGTTCAGATTTGCGCACAAAGGATTCTGAATCATATATAAAAGGACGGGAAAGTTACGTTTGTGAATTAATTATTTATTTTAATTTATTTTTTAGTATTTGTTGTTAAAGTGTCAACAGAAATACGTAAATACTGTGAAAATTTAAACTGTCTAACTATCACGGTTCATGAGATTCAATTTGGTAACAGACAGACGGAAAACAAAATCTTAATAATAGGATTTCGTTTTACTTTTTGGGCGCGGTACTCGAAGAATGAAATAGGGTAAAAAAACAACGCGTTAGGTGCACATCCCACATATACTGTGCGGGGGTCAGGTACGTAGATCGCCCAGTGATACGATATTGAATAGTTTTCATTATCCAAGACTTGTCGCGCGTCGCAATTCTATCGCCATGCATGTACCACATCGATGAGCCATACTAGTTATAGGTATTGTTATGTTTGAGTACAAGGAAGGCCTGAGCCCCTGCAGTAGGGACGTAAAGGGGCTGATGATGATGATTTAAAAATTAAATATTTTTAAGCCATCTCTAATTTTTAATACTTTTGTGTGTAAAGTATATCAGTGTTTTAAATATACTTAACGATGTTTTAATGGGATTGCAAAATACGTATCTAGGTATGAAAATAATTGATCCACAATTGTGAAATATTGTGGGTATTCGCATTATGTAATTAAAGTCAGTTTTCTTTTCTTCAATATGAAGTTCTTGAGCGTCTGAAATGAGTTTCATTATATTAAAAATTCAATAAATTAAAACTTTGAGGGTATATTTCAAATACTCTAGTACGCTTATAAAGTGTTTTCAAAAGACGAGAAATCTTCTCGTCAAATATGTAAAAATACGTTTGAGTGTCCTCAGTGAGTCACTACAGACACTTGAATGAAGTTTCATATATTCGAGGGTGCCACCCCGCACCTGTGCTAGCGTTGTATAAAATAAAACGGCGAGAAAATCCCCTATCGAATTTTCCGCCTCTATACAAGTTATCCTGCTGTAGTTTCGCTAACAGGCAAAATAACATTCTTAATTAAAAGCATACCTGCACTATACAGATGCTTCATTAATTATTTTAAAATACAATATAAGGGACTTACAAAATCCTTCTGCCGGTAAATTAATGAATATTTAAATAATATGGTGTTTGTGTACATTGATTGATATATGTAGTTTTATATAGTCTTCATTCCACTGTCGACAACACTTTACCATACAATGGTTGTATTTACGGAGTAATATTTTTGTGGTCATTATTTTTATACCGTTTTTCATGTGAGAGAATGTCATAAATTTATATTTGAAGAATGACTTTACCGTGATCCAAATCATATCTACGTTTTTATATAATACTTTTGGACATATATTATAACTTATTTTTATTTTGTAACATATATTATGTTACTACGTAGAATAAAAAAGGATACTGACTTGAATATACATTCAACCATCTCCATTTCGCTTTGATTGTTTAAAAAAAGACTTTTCACTACATAGCTATATTATATACTATATAAATACTATTATATCAAAGTATGTGTGAACTTGTTGGTTCTTTTCAAATAGTAATAGGTTATCGATAAAAGGACCACGATAAATGGCGACCAAATCAAGGCCAATTCTACTCAATAATAAATCAACTTAAAGTACTGCTTTGGCTCTGTCACCACTGCCTTTGATTTGGCGTTAGCGATTTATTTTTTCATTAGTTATAACCTATACGTGTCTACGGTATGACTATTTTAAAAGCTTTGCCAATAGAAATGGTGCGGCTAAGCGAGTGTGTTATTATAATTTTAGCATTTTACCAAGTTTCTCATTTTCTTTTTTTTTTTGAGCCAGACATGGAATATATTTTTCAATTGAAAGATGGGACTGTTTTTGCTTATTATACGATGGTGGACGCGATCTTGTGACGGGCACATTTCCTTCTGGACTTATCATGAAAATTATCTGCTTTGTCAAACTTACCACTGTTTATCTTTGTATGTTGCGTAACTGTACGATGACTGCGGCTGCGATGCTATGCGAATATTTTTATTTAGAGATGTGTTTTAGTTAACATGTTTAGTTTCAATTATCGGTTATAATAGTTGTTTCTTAGTATTTATTTTTACAATTTAAAGCCTGTAGCTGGCGTGTGAATGGTCAGAGGTATACGATTATGATTGTATGCAGTAAGTTCCTGCGCGACCTACGCAATTGCGTGGAGGCGCCTGAGCTCCTGGGCCCATTGTTTCATCGTTTCCTGGAGAAGAGGATGTTCCTCTATGAGGCGTACTGTCGCAACAAGCCCGTGTCCGAGTACATAGTATCGGAGCACGACCACTACTTCCAGGAACTGCGTCATAAGCTCGGACAAAAGTTACAGGTCAGTATTCAATTTTACCACCAAGTTTTATCATATTCTGAAATGTGGTTTGTTTGCGTTTACCTAACAGTTGCCTTCACTGCTTCATATTCACATAAGCTTACATTACTAGAAACATTATTACGCTTAGCTACGTGTAAATAAACAAAAAAAAAATTGATACCAACATTGATCTCCCTCACTTTCATCATACATTCAAAGTAACAATCATTCAGTGTGTATGAAAATTTTATTGGTATTTCTCAAAGATGGCAAACTTTATATTTAATAAAAAAGAATTCAACCACTTATGTATTGTTGTATTGGTTACAAAATTTGTTTTACCAACTGGACATATTGGTGGGATTCTAGGTCCGACTTAGGCAACGCTCTTACCTGCCTGGTGCACGGTATAGTCTTAACCAGGTATAAGTCAAATTAACTGTTTCAAAATGAAAAACATTTGTATTGGCAATGCTGGTACTTATCACCACGCGTCCTATTCGTCTTAAAATGACCCCATAAGAATAGGACATGAGGCAAAATTAATTGTGAAGTTTGTGAATAAAAACATTATTGGCTACTAATCGCAACAAATCAGTATGTACCAGCCATGCTTTAAAAGCTGATGTATCGTCGACGTCTGAGAGTGTGGTCACGCTCCGAAGTCGCACGCTATCAACTAAAGCAACAAAAATGTTCATTTTATAGATACTTTGTCGTTTAAGTTAGAGGTAGGACGAAATGACCATCTATCACATTTTGCACAACAAATGTACATTGAGTATTCATTATCATTTTAAACAACTATTCGACGACCAGGTATCGTTTTGCATGCTTGTGCTAAGAAATATGGCAATGTACGTGATCAAATAATTATGGTCGACTTTTTCTTGAAATTCCCTTTAGTGGTTTGTGAACATGGTTTTTTTTTATAAATATAATTCTTATTCGAATCTGCGAAATTTTATAACTTCATATTGAAATATAAGCGTCTTTGCGAATTTTGTTGTATAAGTAACAGAACCTGTATTTATTTTTATAAGGAACAGTATAACAAAACCAGGCGTTATATTTAACTATAGTTAGTGGTATTAGTTGCTCACAATTACTCCCAACAAACAAACAAGCAAACTAAGTTAGAACAACTGCTTTACAATATTACTATAGATAAATGAAAACCAAAAAGAAACGATATTTCCTCTTTATAGTTATTGATAAAAACTAACTAGATAGTTAAAATTTTAGCATAATATAATTAAAACAGTAATGAGTAGGTACTACGATATATTAATGAAATATTCATCGAATTCAGGCTTTTAGTAACCGCGAAACCTTGTTAAATACATATTCAATTACAAATTGGACATAATAACTGCACTAATAACCTTTGTGTAATTACCAACTCTACCAATATCGCCGACAAGTACGCAGATTTTAATACACTTGCGTCAAGTGGATTTTAGGACTAGTGGATTATTTGATATGACGAGCATATGCCAAATTTCTATTTATTGTGTTTTCTAAAATAAAACATTCTCACACTCATCACATCTTATGTTAAGTTTCGGGGGATTATTTTTTCTTTAAATCAACACACATACCTACTCGTAACATAGTTTGTAGTTAAGATATTTTTTGATGTTCGCATGCAGGCAGATTTTATTTCTGATTGTTAATATATTTTTTTATTGAGTACGTAATTGTTGAAGGTTTTCCTCAGTGGACGGATTCTTCTATGATATTTACTGATTTTCAGCTCGGTGATTTGCTTATAAAGCCAATACAAAGGATCCAAAAGTACCACTTGTTGGTGAAGAAGATTCTCTCATATTCGGAATTAGCCAAGGCGCCCCCAGAGGTGATCGATGCGCTTCGCGACGCGATGCACTACACTGACATCATACCAAAAAATGCTAATATGATGATGGACGTCGGCCGCTTACAAGGATTTACGGTAGGCGCATATATATATTAACTTATTTAACGATTGTAGTATTTGAAAGAACAATATTATAATTAAAAATTAATCGATAGAATTTATATGCGTCAAATGTGTCGCATCAGATACACCTATACTTGGTAATTATCTGGAAATTTAGTTTCTTAGTATTTGGAAATTTTAGAATTTATTTGATGATCGAAGTCTTGTTGTTCCCTTAATTTATGAAATTTCAATTATATTTTCTCGATGGTATGCACTTCAATTTCATGATTGTTAACGATATAGCTCGAAGCGAATTGTTCTGCTTAATTTGATTGCTGTTTCACCAAAGCCGAGCGATTTATGAATTAATTTCGATGATGTGAAGTGCTCAATCACATTATGCGATTATTGTAATATGCATCGAATATAGAAATGCGAATACAAAATGTTTGTTGTATACTTTGCACGTATTAAAATAAAATTTTGCTTATTTGCGAACTTTATATGTTTTGATTTTAACACGGTTTAAACATAAATATGGAGTCGAAAAATGTGCGCTGCGCTCAGTCATTCGAATGAATAATTGAGTGCAGGCGAGGCTTTTTAATATCGTGTATGTTCTCCGTAGGTATCAATCCCTCTCAACGCTTTTAGGCATATTGATACTATAAATTTCTTATGTCAATTATCATCATCCATTCTTTGAGTGCCCAACTATTATGTTTGTAATGTTTGTTGCCTATAAGATATGCGCGACGGAAAGCATTTATCTGCTATGATAAGCATTTATGGAGATCTAATGCACCCGTTTGTGACTATGTTGGTTATGTGAGTGGGTAAATACGTGTCTTTAGTTGATACTCAAAAAGTGTACGGTGCGGACACCTCTGGTTACTATCTGCTGGTATGTTTCAGGGCAACATCACGGCGCAGGGCAAGCTGCTGATGCAGGAAACGCTGGTGGTTTCTGAGACTACGAGTGGCAATGATAAAGGCAAAGAACTGCACGTGTTCCTATTCGAACAATGTGTCATCTTTAGCGAGGCAGTTGGCAAAAAAAGCCAGTTCACCAGCCCCACCTATAACTACAAGGCGCACATCCAGGTATAGATACATTTAATTGCTAAAGTTTTAAAATGATTTACTTTCACGTCGACTAATATGTTTGTTCCTAGAACAATAATAATATTATATCACAAGACATTCAAAGGTCTTTAGCTATATATATTATAGCTGACGTAGGCATCAAGTTTCGAAACAAAAAATCTCGAAAAAAGTATGGAAAAGTGAATAATGTGTCAAAGAAAAATATGACTAACGATATACAAGGACAAGCTTCCGTAGGCTTTTACTAGTTTACTTTTCAATTAAACTGAGACGACTTCATATTTGACAATATCACGTGCGTTAGATGCTATCAAATACATTTATCCAAAAAATAGTTCAAGTTGCTAAAGCATTTGTATTATAAAAAACTGAAACAACGAAGGCAACATGAGACCCAGACCTCACCGGGAATAGAACACGGAATTTTAGAATAGTGACACCAGCAGAAACCGGCTTCCTAGTCACTTACTCGGCCTGGATGGTTTGTATATTAGGTTTTAATTTCTAAGATAACTAAAAGTTTAAGCTACAAATCATCAACAGTTTTGTGGGCGGGTCTGACACGTGTAAGGGTTGTGAGCAAATGTGCATTAAATAATTTATTTATTTTATAAAATTGTATTTATTAAGGTAACGATGACTGAATGTGAGAATAAAACTGTGATAATGAATAAACGGCATTAAGATGGATGATGATTAAAGTTATTCAGTTTCATGGGCTGAGCTACCACCTGAGAGGTTTTGCGCTATTTACATAACACGTTGTATAGGTACATTGAATTGTATTGATTAAATGTAATATTTTTTTTTTCTTAAGATATTAATATTTAAAAAACCATGAAATTTTTTATGCTTGTTGATTCAGTAAGAAATATTTAAATCACTTCCTAATAATGAACTAACATTGAATCAGTACAAGTAGTTCTTAAATATTTATTGGTTTGTTTATAAATAATAATAGTTGGTAATTTCTTTAAGTTACGTTACTCGATTTCGTATCAAGTAAAATGAAACTAGTAATATTGACAAACAATATAATGTAAATAAATGTATACAAAATTAAAAAAATACAATTAGTACAATAAATGCAATAAGAACTTACCCCAAATAGATTCCGATGATTTAAAAAGTATTATTGTTAATGGTTTAAAATAAAAAATCTTATTTTCTTTTACAACATTAGGAATATAAAAACAGATTCTTTCGCTACACCACATCATTATTAAATTAATATACAAATGCATACCAAAACGAAGTCAAAATGGTAGTCTACAATAATCGGGTTACATTTTATTGATTGTTAACAATCTCTGATTAAATTTGCCTTTTATTACCACAATTTTTGTCGTCCTTACTTTTATTTAGTTTTTTACTGACTAACACACAAAGAATCGATCAAATGTTCCCATGGCACTTCACTAGCGATCTACCGTAATTTATTATGTTACTATTTAGAACGGTGATTTAGCGATGTTCCTTACATTACGTGCTTAGAATGACACGGTTTAATAAATATGCGTACTTCTCCAGCAATGTATATTTTGTTGGAAATATTTTTTGTGATTCACACTTTTGATAACATTTTACGAATTCCAACTTGAAAGTGTTCTACTTACTAATGAAAATAAATCCCTCCTTTTAACCTACTTGAGGATTGGCTTCTTGTTTTGCAATTAATAACCGCTCAAGCCGGTATTATTAACATTTTTAGTGGCGTGTTTCTATACGTATGTACTTACGCGCGTTCGTGAATGACTATACATCGAGATCGCGTTGTGAAATCACGATCCTGTAAATTTGTCCAGGATCGTCGCTACACTGGCACGCCAACAAGGCCCTTCTAACGTCTTTCTGTGTTCTGTGGATTTGACACATATCAAATTGACAATACTAGTGAAGTAACTGGAACAGTAATACTAATATAATATGAGAACAAGTTTTTTCTTATATATTTGTGTGTAGATAAAACCAGATTATCATATGGGTATCAATGGTGGGCGTGGACAATTGGGCGAGGAGATATCAAAATAAAACAAATTTGTAAACAATGTTACTCACTTTAATGAGCATAATACAATACAATTATTCAGACTCTAAATCAGATTCACTAGGCGACGATTTGTCGCTATCAGTTACTTGTTTGACAATTTCATTTGTTATTTTGCTGCATCTTTCAACATACCCATCAAAGGTGGAGTCGTATTATAACGTAACCTGAAATATAAACATTAAATAACATTAATTTATTATACTAATACCTACATCCCTCTCATGTAGATCAAGAGATATTTATTTCTTAGTAATGTATCTTTTTAATTATACACTGAGTATTGGATGTTATAATAGTATAAATTATTCATACTCATAACTTACGTGATATAAATCAATTGATTTGTGCACATATTAGTACAATGGCAGTGTACTGGGAGTGATGAGTCGGAATTCTAAGAACCCGATGTCCATGTGCCAGAGCCATCTCATTTATTTCGTACCGCACTCTTGACTTTTTATTTTCAAGTACCATTCATATCAGGTCAGACTTTGGTATTTCGGCAGTAGTCTCAATACCATTTTGTTCTAGCCAGGCTACGAGATCGGCTTTCTTGTTGGCCTGGGTAGGCGCTTTATTCATTTGTTTTGCGTTGTCCATTATTATGATGGAAGGCATACTGGGTAATAATTGATTTTCCAAATTTTCCCAAAAGCAAACGTCGTGTTGGAAACTCATTCCTAATATAATTACCATATATGTAGTTTCTTATCAAAAGCATCAATACCTGTCACGGATTTTTCTCTTCGTTTTCTCTTACGAGCGCGTAAAACATTTTCTTCACTTCCAGAAGCACTAAATTTTTCTTTATTTATATTATACACCAATTCCAAGAGCTTGTGAAACTCGTTATTTCACAATGACAGGAATCAAAGGTAGTTATTTGTAATTATTATTTAAATAAAATATAATGATTTATTTTATTGAATATCATTATCTACCATTGTAAGGAATGTTTAAATCGTGGATTACTTATTTCTGAGTATCTATACATTTGTTAAATCTTTGCTAGAGAAATCAGTAAGAATATTAAATTAATAGTCGCTATTTTGTAACAAGTTATGTTAGTACCATTCTAACCGACTCGTCACGAATTTTTCATTCAAATAAAATATACACTTTTGAAAAAGTACATAATTTAAATTAATGCAAATTGAAATATATTATATTAAAAAAAAAATAAGATTTCATTACCAGGTATCACTTTTCTTTTTAAAAAGTATGAAACCTTAAAAGCTACTTATTAGATCAATTTAATATAGATCTATCATGCCAAGTAAGAGAACAATGGGAATGAGTAATTATAAATACGAGTAGTTGAACTTTTTTCTGACCATATAAAATTATTCTGACATATCAACTAAATTATTTGATTTTGAACTTTTGAATTTTAGTTTGAATTATCTTGTAAGTTTATAATGATTTCGTCCATCACAGTGTCATCTTTTATCATGATTCCAGTATTCTTGTACGTTGTTTTATATCAGGAATTTAGAAAATAACCTAATTAGTATTGTTATTTCCACACCCAGTGTTGTACCTGCAATCATCAATCGTGTACATTTGTTCTGATTGGGTATATTTGTTCTGATTGGGTATATTTGTTCTGATTGGATATTTTAACTATATCGTAACTACTGATATGGCGATCGTGCTCCACTTTTTTAAAAATGGCATCTACATTATCCGCAAAAGGGCGATCGAAGTGAATTAAAATTTCCGGAATGAAAAGCTTAAACCAAATTTGTGCTACTCTCACAGAAACTGTACTAGGTAGGAAAGTGAAAAAAATCTCTTAGGAAAGTTCGACCGCAATCTGTAATTTTATCCTCTTTTAATAAATCAAAATTATCAATTTTTATTTTCTTTTTTTTGTCTACCCATTTTCCTTCCCCCGTATTGTGCAAAGAAAATAGATAGATGAATTATTTATTGTTCACATACAAATGAAAAGTTTAGAATAACTTTCTTAATTCTAGGGGGCAAAGTTCTACTTTCAGTAATTACTCTCCTTGCACTACGTTATACCCGTTGCTTCTGCTACTCATATAGGTATATTATATTCTAAACTGTCAACATCAGATCATCGTTTTTGAATAAAGCGTATGGACTTTGTATATAATGTATACTTTTTTAACTTTTCTATTCATCAGTAGACTCATTTTACTATTGTAATCTCATGTGCGTACGTATCCGGATGATTCGGATATGCACGGACATGTATGACTCAACGCGTGTTGCCGTCGTTAAATACCGCTCAGCATTTGTAGCTCATTTTATAGAAAATCAGAGTGGATACAAATAAAAAACATAAAATTTAACTTCAATATCTCTTATGTATGCTATTAATTTACTTTGCAAACTTACTTTGTTCTATTTATTTACTTAGTAAATAAAAAGGTTAGCATAAGGTTAGTAAGGTCGCACTGACATTATTTACTGGCGTGTGACATCACAAATACCACGTTATCAGCGCCATTGTATAGAGCAGCGTTTTTTTTTTCAAGAGATTGGCTACTTAAACTAACAATTATTTTCATCGAATATAGAACAGATTTCCACAGGGAGTTCATGGCCCCAAAAATTAATTTAAGGAGTTAATAAACTTGGGTAATAATTTTTGAGTAAAATAGTTCTTAAATTCAGAAAACTTAATAAGCAAAATCTATAAGTGAATATTCAAAGTTTTACAGCTGTAAACTTAATTAAGTAAAAAGAGCAGTGAATAATTGCAGTTGTGATTGAAAATAGTTTTTATCTAAGACTTAGAACCCAATGCGGAAATTATTTGAAGCGGGAATTATAATTTGGCTTACGCCGCGGATAAAATAAAAATCATAAACATACGAATCTTTTCAAATTTATTTTAATATCCTATTTCAAATTTCGTTCAAATTGAGCTTGGACAGCCGGTGCATTATGTTTAGTAAGCAATTTTACAGCTACATTTATCGTTTTTATTAAAGTAAGATACTAAATTGGTACCTAAAACATATGATATTCTTATTCCTTATGACGTAAGTGTTCACGTATAAATTAAATAATATCATCTGTTCATAGGAGAAATGTGCAGTTAACTTGAAGCTATTTTTGAATTTTTTTCTAGTGTCTCTTCTGTATACTATTTGTTCTATATTTGAAACAACGTTTTGATGCTATTCGTAGCAATAGATGAGCGATATCGCATAAATATAGCGTCATAAAAATATGTATAGATTGCAAGTTTTCACTGGTGCAATTGCACTGATTGTCATCACTACCAGTACAGATCTCCTTAAAAACAGCCATAGGAGACTACGCTCAGTATTCATTGACATACACTAGAGGTTTTATTGATAAAAAAATGTCTTTAGTGCAAATGTAAAACAATTCAATCCAATGTAAAACAACAATCTATCTAATGGAGGTATATTTTATCATAGGTGACTAATATTTGAACAAATTTTCATTAATATAATGTAATTTGTTAAAACTTTGATTATTGCCAATAAAATTAGGTGACATAAACTTATATCTAGTAATGCAAGGTTCAATACCAAACTGTAAATTTTTATTGTCTCGAAGCTTTCTACAGACTATCTTACTATTCGATTTGGCATGTGATCTCAATACAATTTTTTGTATCGGCAAAGTAATGACGCTATACATATTATAGTAATTATGCTAATATTTTTATAATATTTTGATGTCTTATTAAATCTGCAAGAAATAAATATTTTTATGTGGTTGTTTAATGATTTTTGCTGTTTTAAGAATGTTTAAGAATTAAAATATTATTATAACCTTATAATATATTTAAATTTATACTAGCAATTTTACCGCGCCTTAGCTCAAGTAAATAATAGCCTATGTTGTTCGCGTATGCTGTAGTTTAAAAAATCTATTATAATTATAAATCTCATAAAAATATACCTATTTTTAATATAATATCTTTTACATTAAATTTGAATACTAAACAAATCAGAACACTAATATTTCATATGTGGGAATGCGTAATTGCCAGGCGATATAATGCGTTTCGACATGTCGTTCGTCTTAACAGACTTGCTAATGAATGAATGAATGGTTCTATCAGATGAATGGTACATAGGCCAGTAGCCCAATTCACGTAACTATTAATAATCTAAATACCGCTGGAGTTTATAAACTGTTCGATCGAAGTCCTATCGAAATGTGTTATTCGTCACAGCCTCACGCTCGGACGCACTACAATAGAACTTCAACTCGATAGGATTAAAACTCAACGACTCTAGCAACTCAGTTGCTAGTAAGATTAATTTGTTTGCTACCGTCTAGCTAATTGAGAAATTTATTATTACATGATAATCACTTTTTTTCCAAAAAATATTAACTTTAACTAATTTAAAATATGAAAAATGAAATAGTAATTAGAAAATAAAACTTATTATTTGACAGAGTTAATATGAAATTGTTTGTGGGCGATATTTATCTGTCAAAGACAATTAAAATTTTCATCTGTTTCTTTTTGAATCTATATGGTCTAATGGCGTTTACACGCAAATATCTCGTTGGTGTCCTTTACACGTAAAGAGACAACAGAATATATATTTTTTTAAATTTGAGGAGGAAATAAAATATCTTGAAATTATCTGCTAGAACCAAAGATTCTTATATAAAGTTTTAGTTGTGGGAATTGAAACACTTTTTTTATTTGTGGAAGGAAGTTTGAAATAAGAATAAGCGCTAATAAGCCGGTGTCATTGCGACAAATTGAAATATTAATATATTTTATAGAGAGGACATATTTAGGTTTTCGTACTTCAGTCATTATTGCAGTGTGCTCTTCTATGAGACTAAGTCTCAACCACATATAAGAGAGCCTAAACGTTTTCATGAAGTCCTTTTTAGGTATTTCAAAGGTTTCCCTTTTTAACCGCCTTCAAAATATTTCATTTATAATTTAACAGCTTCTTGGACAATGAGTCCGCTTCTTAGTTAAGTTTTATTTCTCATGTTTTTAAGTTCTTGATTTTATCTTTTGGAAAAATAGGCAAATCTTTAATTCTTCTTTGCAGCTCTTTTATATCCAATGGAATAAAAAGAATGAAAGCTTAACCAAAGCTCATATTATTTGTTTCCATGTTTTACTATGTCAACAATACCAATTAATTAAGTTTTGTTCAACCGCGCCTAAATCATGTACGAGTATTTTGACGTTTGGTCGATCCGCATCCGATCGAAAGAAATGTCATTTGTTTAGCAGAATAGCTCTAACGTCCGATTTTTTGCAAGTTTTGACACGATTGATTAGGTGAATACGCTTCCACGATAATTCGATACAACTACTTCAAAATCGGCTGTATTCATAGACGTGAATTGGGAAATTAATTCAACGACTAAACCGCTGCGATATCGTTACCACTTTTGTTATGTGAATTGCTACAGTAGGCTTACGAAATGTAGTTACTTTTGATAGCGTAATATGTGTATACCTTAAACAGTCCTAATTAGCATATTTCCATCCGTCTTTTGTACGCTTAAAACAATTTTCGCTTCTACGCTTTCTATTTTATGTAAGTGCCCATGACCTATAACTCGGCCTATACATTTGAGTTATATTTCATTTCGTATCTCAATTTATAGATGAACAAAATGGAGTTTGAAGAAGTAGAAGGCAAGGATGCCTTCATTATCCATTCAGTGGATCCCAACAAGCCGCGGCAGTCATTCCTATGCAGGGCGGCGGATCCGCGTCGTAAAGAGGAGTGGGTGGCAACACTCGCAAGCATTCTGCAATCGCAGCGGATGTTCGGCGAAGCTCTAGAGAATCCCGGGGCATATCTGCGTGAACTCCACGGACACTCTTCGTAAGTAACGCCCTACGAAGGGCGCACGGGTCGTACGCATCGCGCGGCTTGATTTATTAATGCTTGCATATTTACTAACGCCTACCGTTCATTGTATAACTTAGACTCTTCAATATAACATGACTCTATTCGTTCTCTTTATCTTGTGAACTAAAAATGAACCAAATTGGTTTCGATGGTCCTTATAGGTTTAAAAATAAGGACTAACGAAGCCCATTCAATTTTCCAGTCTCTTAGGACAAAAGAAAGTAAGGATATAAATTTAAAAATGAATTTATATGTTCTTTGATATTTTGCTCTGTGCTGGAAACCGGGCTAGAATAGAAGAAAAAATTATCAAAATTTACATATCCAAATATAAATGCATTTGTTCATTGTAAAGCTTCTTTATTTTCATTTTAATATAATCCAAAATATCTCCTTAATATGAGTAATCACACAGTCGTTTGTCGGATAGAAGATTTATTTTATGTAAATAAATATTTTTAGTCTATACTTCCTAGTTAATTTTAATGGATAAGTCATCCTATAACATCATTATCAGGTTTTACTATTTCAGGTAATTATTAATTTGGATTTTATTATTTTACAAGACGATTATTACCAACACGTAGGTATTCCAATATTTTACAATATCGAGGTAAAAGAGAAATAAAATTTTGCTCAATAGCATAATACTTATTTCATTTTAACTGAATGTCGAATATTTCGATTTAATTTCTTTATAATAATATACTTGTAACAAATTAAAACATTATAGCAATAACATGACTATAATTAACGTATTATTAAATATGGATTCAAATGTCCTCTAGACAAAATAAGGACTAATCATGACTATTCTACATATCACTAACTCACCACTACGTTACAAAACAATTCGAACTGATCTCGTATTCATAATACGTGATCAGTTCAAATTCAGTCAAAACTAGAAATCCGATAGTTTGGTGATGTAGTGAAGTGTAAAATTGTAATGTGTTTCTAGTGAGATATAGTTTAAATATTGTGCGTATGTCGGACGGTTTTGTTACCGTCGTGTGGCGTCGCGTACGGTCCGTGTCGTCTGGGGCCTGTCGCGGTCGGCCTGGGCTTCGATGCGATATGCAATGATAACCCGTTATCGCATGTACTGCTATCTATTTTATGTTTATTATCCATTGTGTGCGATCAGAAAGTTCTATTTTGTTTGACTCTTATGTAAATAAATACAGTCGAATAATAGCAGACACAAAATTATATAGCATGAAATAGTTAATGTTATTATATATTTTTTATATTTTATTATATTCGCACACGGTGGATTTTATCACTAACTTTATAAGTAAAATTGTAAGGGTGAAAATTTAATAATACTCTTGATTTTCATAATAGTAGATGCTTTAAAGTGTCGAATAAGATGTAAAAACATAAATGATGTATTTTATCATTGGTTAATCTGAAAACAAAAATTGTCAGGGTTGATAAAATTTTATATTCAATAACAGTATATTTGTATAACATTTAACTGTAAACGAGTTCGTTATTCTCGGCCTGGACAGTTTCAATGATAGCAGGTACAATGATGTAAATGCTGAAAATATTTTCAATAAATACAAATTATTATTTTATTTACAGTTACAGGACATTCATCACTTTCAAAAATTCATTAAACATAATAAGTCGTACATTTTTATTGCCGATAAGTCTATTAAAGAAAGCGCAGTGCTATCTCTAGCAATCGGAATCTAAATTATATGTCATCAAATATTTGAAAGGTATATTTTAAAAAGAAAACCATGTCAAATTTCTGCATTTCGTTTCAGTGAATGAAAGTTGTAAATTTTCTTGATGAACATGGTCAAAGATAATAAAATTATTTTAATTATTTTTCGTTAATTGGATAATTCATATCTCTCCTGATATACCAATATTAGATATTTATGCTCATTTTGTATATGAAAAAAATCTGTTTTAAAGTACTTTTAGAAGTTTTAATGACATTATTACATGAAAATAAAAATACTTTTTAATTTTTAATACGAAAGTGTAGAATGTCCTATGTTCAACAAATGAATCGATTGTGCTTGCACAGAATGTTTTTTTAAACTGTATTTTTAACCGCATGCGGTAATGAATTCAAGTAACCAAAGCACTGTAATGTAGTACTATAAGTACTATAACAGTTAAGTAACTAAAGGCGCACGCTCGCTCGGAAAGGCGGCTGGTCAATTGTAAGGTTGCGTGCCATTTTAATTATATAGTGAATAATAATTGTCCATGTTAGGCTAATTACTACACTGGAATTGATATTTAGATGTATTTATTTTGAAATTTTTGTAATATTTAAATTATCAACGGATGTATGTATACTTATTAATCGTAACTATTCATATGTATCTATTTGTATATTGATACGTTTGTTTTGTTGAATATTAACCATTTGATACTCAATGATTGTGTTTTAAATAAATTAAAAGGTCGTTCGCAATAATACTGCCAGTTAATATAAAATGTGACAATTGACCAATGTCAAACGTAAATTAGTACACTTTAATATTTAAAACCATTTTTCATGCACTTGTATTTTTTATAAAAAAGCTACAATTAAAACATTTCATAAAGCCTACATAACAACCGAATAAGAGAGTTCGAAGATCATATCATGAAATATTTATTAAACCGAGAGTAGTGTGATACGTCACTTATGTGCAAAAAATAACCAAGGAGGGACAAATTTAAAAACAAATCTTATTTGTTCAATAAGCTCATTTCAAATGTTCATTTAACGATCATTGTCGTCTTACCTTCCGAACGAATGCATTTAATGCCCATTTTTTGCAGTTTAGATTTAAGTAGGAAATGAAGAAGACTGGAAATAATGGAATGTTAAATTATCAACGGATATACGAAAGTATATCGAGAGGATGGATCGGTAATAGTATATAAGATGCTAATACATGTCACACATCTGCATTAACTTTAAGGGAATATTGTCAAATCTACGCTGTACACTTTATTCTTATATTATAAATTATGTAATAACGCAATCAGTAGTATGTATCAAAATTTTGGCTACAATTGATAAATTTCGAACGTATACACCGTAGACAGCACAGTTCTATTTGACACTAAATTTGTCAAAACTGATTGATGTGAAAAATTGACAGATACAGTTATATCTTGTTGTATGAGTATATGTATCATTTGATATCGTTCAGGCAGTATCCCCGATACCTTTTTGTTTGTTCATACCCGTAATTCATTCCACAGTACTTAGTTTAGGTATAGGGGCCAAATTTGATCATATTAGTTTCCTTATTACCGTTAATTTTGTACCCGAAATTTAAATTGTAAGCTTAGGGAATAGCCAACTTTAATATGTTAACGTAACATTAAATGCTTATTACAACTCTGCTTTTGATGTTCATAGTGTGTAAGATACATTTAAATAGTGAATATTTACATTTTATAATATATTTTGCTGTATTATGAGCTGATCGGTAAATTTAATAAAGAGATGTGATAAAATATCTTTAATGGAACACGTCACGCGGATGCACTTTTGAACTAAGGACATTGATTGTCGTTCGAGAAACTATAGCTTATGCTATGATAATGTTGGGATCATTTAACTTTTCATACAGTTTAATTTATTGTTTTTAAATTTAAGATACACCAAACATCTATTTGTACTTCTGACATAAGCGATAGTCCAAACCCTTGGTTACTTTAACAGTATACACAACGTGATAGCGTTGCTTTTTGCCTGCCAAAACACCTCAAATTGACAATTGATGTCCCGTTGTTGTGCGGTGCCTGAGTTAAATCTTTACAAAGCATAAGAGTAACTAATATACTTTTATATTCCAATAAAGACAGATTTTCATTATAACGGATTTTAAAAATATGTAAAATCTTTTGTTTATAATTGATGCACAGCAAGGGCATGAAATTGTGAATAAATATACATTATGTTTTTTAGAGTTGACGAAATAGTCATACATTTTTTAAATTTTATTATTGGTATTATACAAACGTTGTGCCAAATTTCATCTTAACAATATCAGGTAGTTCAAGTGTTTTTTTTTTTAATTTAGTGCTTTTTATATTCCCTGAGTCATATTCATACTAGGATATTACGTTTGGGGTCATAGCCGAAATGACACAATGTGATAACGCAATCCGGTTCCTGCTCATTAACGTTGCTTACAATGTCGATCACAATCGATCTGTCTAGAAAAATATTGTAAACATTCAATATTTTATAGAAATTCGTATATATTTTGCTTTTGATTTTAATAACGACACTGTCGTATAAAAATAGTTTATCGCTTATCGGACACCTGAGTGAATTCGAATTCGGATTTAGATTTTTATAGAGTCGCAGGGCTGTTGCGAGAAAAGCCTTCTTGTTTTGTTTCAAGCTGAAGCTAACTTGGGAGACCTCTGATCATTAATTTATTATATAAACAAACTCGTCTATTTTTTTATTCTTTAAGTTTCAAAAATCTACAAGTTGAAAGATTATTTCGTGTGATCTTTTTGTGATTGAAAAATAACTGCATGAGAATCTGTCCTTATTCTCAGAATATAGGGCCAAGCGATATGATTTCAAGTGTATTCGGTTGACGGCTGAACTCGGAAATAAGTTTTAGTTATAAATCAATTATATTAATTATGATTGTTTCTTTAAATAGTGAACTCCGTTGTAGTAATACAGTTACACGGACGGTTTGTGATTTTTGAAAGTAAGCTTAAGTGTGTTTGTATTATTTTAATATGACAATTATTTTGTTATCAGTGCTTTCAGCTTTGTCATTTGCTTTTGTAAACGATATAAAGTGTAAGACATTCCAATAATAGTCCTATGTCAGATCACACTTCTCTTACTGTTTCGGCTGATATTTCTATTTTTTTTTTTTTAAATAGTTATGTCAATCATCACTAATTTATTGGTTGTATTTTGATAATGTCTACGTTTAATAACTTCATCTGAAGTATATTATGAGTTTGAAAATGATCTTTGAATCTGTGCATTAGTTTTGTATTTGTCATATGTATATATCTGGCTATCGATCCGAAGTGTGTATATATTATAAATTTCTAACAATCACTGTAATACCGAACTACTTATATGTTACATGAGTAATCAATAAATGTGAATAAAAAACGCTTGTGGTTTAATGCTTGTAGTCCCGCATGCTTTTTATATTTAATTTAGTTTCTTGTTACGTTTTTATTTGGGGGCCAGCTTTAGTCGTTACGTCGCGCTACTAAGCTGTAGGCACACTAACACCGTAGCTACGATATGCTGCTCACGTACAATCAACTGATTTTATGTTAAAGTATATTTTGGGGAAAAAGCAGGAGAGATTTTTAATTTTAAAAGTAGAATAATCCGTTTTCAAACATTCTCATTAGACATATAGATAATGATTTAAACACTAACTATATTCAGACAAATTCAAAGCTTTTTACTTTTTTAAAAGGAAACATAAGCCTTGCGTTATGAAGTTCGTATGTCGTTAGTTTCATATATGACATCTTTGTCAGTTCGACACTAGCTTATTTTTATTGAGATAAAATAAAGTATAATTCAAAAATTTTAAACTAAGGACATCCGAAATATATGAAGTCAGATATTAGTTACAGTAGGAGAGGGAGCTGGTTCACCATTTTTTTTTTGTTTTTATTTTAACTTAACCTATTCCCGTCCCTGTAGTATGGGTGAGGGTTGGTGCGGGCTGCGCAAAACCGAAAGCGTGCCTCCGTCATTGGGCGCGCGCCTCGCTCCTGAGTTGCGGCGAACGCAACGACCGCACGCAAAGGCGAACACAATCAATCTACCGACCACAACCATCAGATCAGACGACAGAAAGAAACCTAATGCGGCAGTGAGCCCCACCTCCCCGCCGAACGCGAACGTGAGTATACGTACCGATAAATGGGGCTGGATATAATCAATGGGTCCACCACTAACCGTTGGTGCTACGAAATTGGATACCAATATGCGGTATATTCGGTATAAATTGCGGGTTGCACATTTATGTTAGTATAAATAAACATGACACCTGAAGGCCTGTTCTATTTATCTGAAAATGAAATTTTTAACGACTAAATATTTTGACGAAGGCAAGTATAAGTTAGAGTATATTTGACTGATTGCGAGATATCTATAGAGCAATTCAGGTCTCCGGGTGTCTTTCAGTCAATCAATAGAAGAATCAATCAATTCAATCGATAGAAGATCGTAAAAATATACACACTATTTGTCACTGTCTACTGAACGATAAGAAGAACGATAAGGCGGTTTATTCGTAACTCTCAGAGGTTCTTTGATCTTAGGGTTCTTCTCTCTTTAACCGAGGGTTTCTAGTTATGGACAGTCGTATATCGTCCTATATAGTTCCAAGCTTTTCAGTCATACAATGAGTACTGTGTATGATGTGAACAAAACTATATTTGACAATTTTTTAGAAAATTTTTCTGCAATCAGGCAAATAAAACGAAGAATTCATCAATATAACTTCACGTTCTTTACGTTTTGCTATTAGCATGTGATCAATCAAATTGGGCTATTTTTTTGTCATCGAATACTGAAATAAATATTGAAAAGAATAACAAAATATTTAAACTACAAAATTTAATTATAAAAGAAAAACATTTTGGTCGGAATTTTGACAAAAGTAATTGTGAATTTAATTATTTTGTTTGAATGTTTTATTCGCCATTACGCTGTTAGTCACTGAGTGATAACGCTCTCAAGAGGTCATGCACTTGTTATATTCCAGACCTGCAAATCCCGCGGATTCCACGCTCGTAATACAGCAGCACGGGATTGTAAAAAAATTCGGGGTCCCGCAATATTGAGACTAAGATAAGATTATATTTAGATATATACGAAGAAATCATAGTGAAACAGATAAAAAAAGACTAGTTACTTTCAGTTCGTAGCTATAGCAAATTAAATGCTGTCAAGTTTACTCACATAAATCTATGAATTATATTATTTTCTGTATTAAGAATCTATAGACGTCTAAGTTAAGTTAACTGACTGTGTATATTATAGGAGATTTGTAGGTGAGTGAATTTTGCCTAGATCATTGTTTCCCTACGTGTGCGCCAGCGAAATTACAGCTCAGTTGTAATATCAACTCAATTGATTTAATTTGTTTATTTATTTGAAAGGGTTTAGCCGGATACGTATGACGAGTCGGCCCCCAAATGGGAATCGATATTGAAACTTATGTTTTAATATAGACTTGATGTTCAAACACGATTTATGTACTTTTCGCGACCGACTTCCGCTTTGACCTTGAGATAGAGAGCAAAATATCCGTATGCTTGACTATTACTGAATGTGATATATCTCTGAAGCTAATTAAGATAAAGAAGTGAAACTAACGCGAGGTGTTAGGTTACATTACAGAGTATATCACATATATTTTTTTATAATTTTTAGAATAAAAAATTACATTAAAAAAATAAAAATAAAAAAAAAACATGTTTTTTTTCTGAGTTCTCTGTGACTTACAATCACGAAATAATTATATGTTATGCTCCTTTGTGTGCTCTATTACCCATAAAAATTGCGTGAAAAAAAAGTTGGTGCAACACAACGAAAAAAAATTATATGTGATTTCTGTACTATGGTATACCCCTGTATTATAAGATTTTCACATTACATCATTGTTTTTTTTTCGAAATTTCACATCAGCTTGTTTTAAAACATAAGTAACTAGTCTTAAGAGATGGGATAATAGTTAAAAAAGAAATGAAAAAAAAACAGCCAGTGTTCAATACTTATTATTATTACTTTTTCGTGTCTATCAAAATACAAGAAACAAAATATTAATCATCGTCACTGTTGTAATTAATTACAATCGGAACACTTTGAGTCGCAAATAACTTAGTTAGGACCTCATCAGGACGTACGATTTTGGACAAATATCGTCCATATGATAGATAATAAATAATAGCTGCTACATGAGAACAGCATCCCACTGTACGTTTGCCATTGGGGCAATCACAGCAATAACGAAGAATACTATTGTAGTCATTACCTTCGGAAATATAGTGAATGTAAATTCGATAGACTTTTCTATTTATATGTCTTGATTTTACTTCTGCTTTGATGATATTAGGTGCTGATTTCACATATTGAACTGAGAGATTATTTTGATCGTCCATTATTTCGGCCAAGTTAAATGCTGCATATTTAGAAGTAGAAGCTTTTTTGTTAATATATGGGATAAGTCGACACTTCTCACAAAAAATATCATTAACTATTACGATTTTATTCAAACAGTCACTAAACACTTTAGCTTCTTCTTCATTCTTTATAATTTTTTTATAACCAGGAATCTTACACAGGTACTTGTTACAATTTTTACACTTTCTCGACATTATTACTTAATAATGATTTGGTTCGATAGTTAATAATTTCAAAATGCTGATACAAAATACCTATGACAGAATTTGAGTCCCAAACTGCCTTCTTGTGTAATACAAATGACTGCTACTTTAGCTAAACAAACGATGCAGTAAACAGTTCGAACTTGTTATCGAGCTGTTGAAATTTCGAAAAAAAAACAATGATGTAATGTGAAAACCTTATAATACAGGGGTATACCATAGTACAGAAATCACATATAATTTTTTTTCGTTGTGTTGCACCAACTTTTTTTTCACGCAATTTTTATGGGTAATAGAGCACACAAAGGAGCATAACATATATTAATTTCGTGATTGTAAGTCACAGAGAACTCAGAAAAAAAACATGTTTTTTTTTATTTTTATTTTTTTAATGTAATTTTTTATTCTAAAAATTATAAAAAAATATATGTGATATACTCTGTAATATAACCTAACACCTCGCGTTAGTTTCACTTCTTTATCTTAATTAGCTTCAGAGATATATCACATTCAGTAATAGTCAAGCATACGGATATTTTGCTCTCTATCTCAAGGTCAAAGCGGAAGTCGGTCGCGAAAAGTACATAAATCGTGTTTGAACATCAAGTCTATATTAAAACATAAGTTTCAATATCGATTCCCATTTGGGGGCCGACTCGTCATACGTATCCGGCTAAACCCTTTATACAAATATTAGAAAAATAAAAGAATTGATTGTTGGTTTGCATTGAAAAGGCTGCTAAACTACAGTACTGATTTAAAAAATTCTTACACGCTACATCATACGCGGGTGACGTCGGCTAAAATTTACGCGGGCAAAGTCGCCGGAAAATATTGCAAATGTAAAGTATGACAGACATATGACTTATGTAAAGAGGGATGATCATAATAAATTGCTTATCTCTTTCGACACGTTCCACTTTGCTCCCTTTCTGCGCAAATATGCGTATACGTATGCGCCAATATGAGTGAGTATTACTCAAAGGTTGACTGGTAAAGAATGCCATTAGAAAGGCATTAGGTCCGCTTATGTACATTAGTGCATTAAATAAAAATCAAAATGGAGTGCGATAGATGTTTACCGTGAATTAACCTTTAATTAATTGACATAAGTCTCGAGATCTGACTCTATAAAAGCAGGATTTTGACAATTAAAACATGTCTCTGAATTTTTTGATACCTCCAGCAAGATTATTGACAAAAACCTTAGAGTTTATATGATGCATCAATACCTATCAATATTGATTGTGTCTTTGAGCTCGCGATTCCCATCTTGTCAGTCTGACTACACATTATGATACGTTGAACCGTACAATAATACTGTTTTAAAAGAAGTCTTTCTGAGTTGTGTGACATTCTAAAAATTCCATATATTAAAATAAATACAAAAGAAATCTGGTACTTAATCATCTATTACCTATCTACAAACAGTTAGCCAGACGCTTAAAAAAAATGTCTGCGAGAAAATTAATAGCGGTCGAATCTTCGAAAGGTTTTAAAGACAATTGATATATGTTCCGGTATAGAATAAAATCTTTAAAGGATCTTCCTGTACCAAACACTCTAAGGTCACTGCTAATTTATTTTTTCGTGCCATTATAGTATTCTTCAATTGAGGATCTTGTTTGGTTACATACGGCGAAATCGTCTTTAACAAGATTTCAAAAAGAGATTCGTTCATTCAAAATAACTTCTATGATCTTTAGTCTCAGAGAACATAATTTTATTTATATTTTAAATGTGTATATTTATCGCACATTGAAAACCCCTATTAACCCAAGTTATATTTGAATTTCATGGTCAATATTTATTAATACAAGTGCATTTATTAAATTCTTCTTATTACAATCGATAATGAAACAAATTAAAACTACTTATCTAAACTATGTCTTAACTACATTAAATAAAAAGTGTCTCCCAGATCATTGCCAACGGGTAAGGTACCCAGAAGGCTGCAAGCGTTTCCTCTTTGAATAGCCAAACTTATTCTTTGGGCGAGGTACATAGCAGCCTTCTGATCACCAGTCCTGTCAAAAAGTTAAATATATTGAATACAATAATGTGATATGTCCATCGGCAAAATGTTGAGACCGGTATTACGATAATGGATCGTGAATTCATGATATTTATTTATTGATCAAATCCTGCATAAATATAAACTAATAAAATTATGAACAATGCTGATCCTGCGGATTAAGAGATCCACGGAGAAAGAGAGAGGGAGTAAGATAAAGAATCAGAAAATAGTAACGATGATTGTCCCGAATTTTTATTTTCTTATGGATATGATCTTTATATTTTACATTTATTTGGGGCGAAAAAAAGTAATTTGTTACTTTATGTTTAATAACAGCTTAACGGTTAACTATGCAACTGTTGTGAATGCATATTATTACTACCTAAAAAATGATTATTTTATAATGCTACAAGGATCTTTTGGCACGTGACGAAATTCAGAAATAACATCGCCATCTTGTAAAATGTCAATTGTTAAGGTATTGCTTGTAGTCAGTGTTGCCAGATGTACTGTTATTACAGTAGATTTAATGTAACGCCGAGAGCGTGTCATTTGTTATAATTAAAAGTACAGTGTACGAGAGAATTGTAAGTTAATAGTTAATTATATATTTTTAAACTACCACACGCAACATAAATATGGATTAAAAAATAATAATTTCTAACAAAACACAGAGTAAAGTACGTGACCTCCAAATTAAGTAAATATACTATAAATACAATTCATCTGTCATCAGTTACATTCGCCACGTGAAAAAACATCCTTCTAGTGTACTGTATTTCAAATGGAGATACATATTTAATTTAGTAATGGGTGGCTTTAGCATGCTGTCAATCATTTCTTTTCAATATTCTTCCGCATAATTATAATTTTATGATTAATATCACTATGTACTTTATATAATCTTCAAAGGCTTTCATTTTCTTTGGGTATTTTATTAACTATTCAGCACTTTTCTTTTTGCATGTTTCTTTTTATTTTAACGCTTGTCTATATTTCTTTTGTTGTAGGTATGATAAACACGGGAATGCATTTTTAACATAGACTGTGATAGCGGGCCGATTCCTCTCATGCGCAAGAACTCTCGATTGTGCTTAGTGATTCGGAATAACCGCCTGTGACTTTTTAAGTTTTATTTATTGAATAAAAATTATGTAGTATTAATAATTGTGTAAAAAGTGGATGGGAACTATGGTGAAGGAGCACTAGGTGAGCATGCATGCAGCGCTTCCTATACACACCGCTTAAGCGTACTAGTCAAGGTTGTTAGCGTGTGTAAAACGTGGCAGGGCTTGTCGAAGCGGCCGTGGGGGTTGAAGCTGAGGCGCGGGGGCAGCGGTGGCGGTGCCGGTGGGGGCGAGCCTAGCGCCGAGGGCGTGGTCACCGAGCTGAGGCCGCCGGAGTTATCCGACCCTGCTACTGACGTCACCGTCGCACCAGGTGCTTCCGCTACGCTCTCTTGTCGCGCTATTGCAGTGCGGGCCTCCTGCGCCTGGCGCAAGACCGCCCCTGAAACCCGCGCGCTACGTCACGGTGGAAGATTTGCTATCTCTCTCACACCAGATGGACTCGCCTCTCTCACAATACACGCGTGCCGCGCCTCCGATGCGGGCGTATACTGCTGTCTCATTACCAATGAATTAGGCGGCGTGCAAACATCTGCGAGATTGACCGTAGGGGCTGGTGGGACACCTGGTGTTCCCGCTGTTCGTGCGCACCCGGGCGGTGGTTTAGTCGTTCAATGGGATGAGTCAACGCCTGCACATCTCGAATATTGCCGCGTAGGAGAAGGGGAATGGCGACGTGCTACTGAAACTCCAGCAGCGGCGAATACGCTCGCTCTAGAAGAACTTCCGGCAGGACAATACAGCTTTCGGTTAATTTGTGGACGAAGCGGTGCAGCGGGAGCAGCGTCAGGTGCCGCAGCGTGTGGTGGCGGAGGTGGATGGCAGCGCGAGCAGTTTGCTCGTCGCTACAGCGTCGAAGAGGAAATTGGTCGCGGGAGAACGGCGCGTGTATTCGCCGCACGCGACACTGGCACCGGACAACGAGTTGCTTTAAAGCAGGTTCGTGTGGTCTTTTTAAGAATTATCGATATTACTCATATTTATTACCTGTACGGTTTGCAGACTTTTATGATAGTGATAAATGAAAGTATCTGATTATTTTAAAAACAATTATACTTATAAAAAATAATGAGATGAACACGAACTGATTTGAATATTTTTTTATGGCCTAAAATGGTGATGCGGCAAATTTACGCGCTTTCTCGTACATTACCCATGTTATTACAACTAATAGATTTTAGTAAATTACTTTAAACTGAATAATCAAAGTAAATTTTGAAATTATTGTAGGGAAGCTATTTGTTTAATGTGTAGGTAAAGTTCATTTATATTAGTTATTAATAGTTAGCAACTAAATAAATTTTATCAGTATTTAATAATGAAACTGTCAGGTCTTTTAGTTAAACAAAGTTTGATTGTATATAAATTGTAAACAACTGTTTAATAAATAAAATAAAATAAATAAATGTGAACTTAACCACCTCTCCTAAATAAAAAAGAATTTTATCGATATTTTTAAACGTTAGGTTTTTTAATGACTAATACTAAGGGATCATCCATAAATTACGTCACACTTTAGGAGGGGGGGGGGGGGGGGACATTAAATCGACGAACTGTGACATTAGAACAATATTTAGTAGAATTTGTATAGATTATTAGGGCAAATCCTGAATTTTGTGTGACGTAATTTATGGACGGCCCCTAATTAAATTATAGGAGATAATGAAAATTGATTTAAACCAATTACAGTGTAAACTCTCATAATATCTTGTTATTTTAATGTTGATAGAATTAATTAAACATATTCTCACTTATTTCGCGTAGAAATTGATAATTCCCCCGGGACGACTTTACTATCGAGGCATTATTGTGATAAGGTGTTAGCGGGCCGCGGCGCGGACGCTGTGCGTGAGTACCGCATACTGTCACAGTGGGCGCACGGTGCGATAGTGCGCGCGCTCGCGTTATTCAGTGAGGTGCCGCGCGCGGGCGGACACACGCTCGTATTGGAGCTAGTGGGCGGCGGCGGGTTACTCGAGTGGGCGGCCGCTACACCCACGCTTTACACGCAACAAACGGTAGCGAGACACGCTAAACAACTGCTGTCAGCACTGCAATGGTTACATACGCATCACGTGGCACATTTGGATGTGCGGGTAAGTATACGAGTCGTTCAGCTAATAATTTAATGTGAAAAACGCGTCTGTCTTTTTTTTTCCTTTCCAATTGCTTTAAATAAATAAAAATAAAATAATTGACACGTGCTACATACTTGATGTAATTATTCGTTTTATCGCTGCCCCAGTAAGCAATTTCCTGATGTAAACCACTATATGTCAGCCTGCTTTATGCCCAATGGAATAAGAATTACAATCAAGTAGAAAAAAAATAGTTTTATATAACCTTAGGAGTTATTGATATTTTATCATAATTCTATACTCTATATGTGTACAAGTAATAGTCCAGTTTTACCTGCGGTTGTCCGGAAGAAATTGCTGTTTAGCGAAAAGACAGTTAAATTCTATCAGTATGTCATGTTCATTAATTATGATCTGCAGTAAAGACTTATTCATTCATTAATTCGCCTGTGCTCGCCATTCAGCCGGAAAACATCCTAGTGGAACTGGGTGGTGCACAGCCCCAGTTGAAGCTGATTGACCTGGGCTCGGCGGTGGAGTCGGTGGGCGGAGGTGCGGGGGAGGGGGAGGGCGTGTCCGCTCGTGAGGTCCTCCCGCCGGCGCCTGCCCAGCTAGAGTTCGCGCCGCCCGAATGCGTACTGGGCCGCCCGCCTGCGCCCGCCTGGGATGCATGGGCGGCCGGCGTCTTCTTATACGTTTTCCTTACCGGGGTAAGTTCAAACTATAGCTTGTTTCTAGAGCAATCAGCTCACGAAAACCAAAAAAGGCGAAAACATCACGTTTGTTGTATAATCCCCTAATTTTTTACCTGTTTTTTTTTTTGAATTGTTTTTATTGTGGCAAAAGAAATACATCATTATATTTAATCAATTTTGTATTCACAGTGCTATACTGGCAAATTTTCAAGCATTGTTCCTTAAGAAGAAATATACCATCTATGTAAATTTAAAAGTGTAACTATTACGATCAATGAGATATATCCTGGTGACAGCGGAGTCTTAGTAATAGGGTCCCGTATTACTCTATTAGTAACCAACTCTAATAAACGGATCATGTAAGCGTCTGGCAAATAATACGCATCGCTATATATGGATATCGATATCGTTTCCCCATAATACAATAAGTACCAAGCATGAATTGTGATTAGTCGACATTTACTGAGCTTCAAAACTTAACCTACTGCACAGTACCACGTCGTATCCTACTAGACTGCATATTATTGTGCAGGATGGGGTCAGCGATCTTTTTTCAACGCTAGAAAATGTATTACTGCATTTGCTCGCCTTAGCGCGGTGTCGGTGGGTTATGTGGGGCTCTCCCCTGCGAAACCAAGAAAGTCTATTTAAATAGCAGGGTTGGGAATTTTTGCATTCACAATGACTTAAGTTCTTGAAATAAAAATCTAGGAAAGAACTTTTGCAAGATAAATATATGAATATTTTGTTGTAGCTGTCACCGTTCTTGGACGAGTCGATAGAGGAGACTACGGCGAATATAATAAAATGCGATTACTGCTTCCCGCCGGAGCACTGGAGCGGGATAGACGAGCGAGCCCAACACATGATACGCGGCCTTCTAGACCCAGCGCCACACTCGAGACTGATGCCTAGTGCTGCTCTCGCCGACCCATGGCTTGATCAAGTAAGCTACATCTCGTCATGCACTAACTTAAAAAGCAATATTTATTTAACATCAAATATTGGATGATTTTATCGGAATAACATATTCTCATTGCAAAAGTTTTGAAAATGTATTTAGTCATAAACCAACATAGAATAGGTACGATGACCTACTACGCAATTACGTAAATAACGAAGTTATTTTATGAAGTTGTAACCATGATACAGGAAATAAACACTATCTGTGTACAATATCATATTGTGTTTATCTATCAGAATTGGATTACAGGTACTTTGAATTCTAGAAATAATAGTTACAAACGCTACCGCTACTGATATTATGCTACCTAATGAATAGATGAATATAAATTATTAGATATTGATAATACACAAATGGGCATATATTTTTTTTATTTTATTAATTAGGTGCCTATATTAATTGAGATAATATTGCGACAGGCGCCCGCGACAACACTCTCAGCGAATCAGCTTAAAACGTTCCTAGACCGTCGACGTCCGTCCGGGCATGGTAACGCGTTGCACTCTCTCCGGTCGCCGAACGACACCTGACGGCCGTGTGACGCACGCCCCCAACAGGGACAAACGACGTCTACCGCAGCCGCGCCACGACTGACCTAATCACGCTTCCAGACTCTTGCCAAGCGTCCACGAGCGCGAGAGTGGGGGAGGGAGCACTGGCCGTTGCCAAACTTGCCAAAATCTGAGGAGCACTTGTGATAGATACCCGCTTAACATGATTTATGTAGCAATGTAAACGCGTGCATACTCAAATATATAGATCAACGACTTGGCGAGAATCTGGAAGGCTACTGTGACGATGTGTAGGCAATTGTTCCTCACTGTGAGCATTCGGATGAGTTTAAAAATATTTTTGTAACTTGATTCGCGGCTCTGCTAATATCCACGGTCGTAATATATGATGTTACATTTACGTTCGATTAAAGTAATATGCTACTTGACTTGTTCAGGTTCTTTACTTTCTTTTATTATCTTGATCAGTCTATAGCTTCAATGCTCACGGTAAAGACTAACCTTGGATAGAAACTCTCATTCGAATGTAACCAATTAAAATGATTTTATGTGTACTAAGGAACAAAGGCGCTAGCCACATGTAGATCTTACTATACATTCGTGCGTAAACTCAACTTAGGTTTATGATTTTTTTTTTCTATAGCTGTAGTATACTTGAAATATTCTATAGTCAATGTGCCCACCTGTCGAGTACGATATTTTAGTTTGTGACATCACTTCGCAGCAAGCATCGATGCACCCCATGGCTTATATTCTTCGTCTACTATTTGATGGAGAACTCGAAATAGAGTATAATTATAGTTTATAATGAATTATGAAGGGCTTCGTTTTAAAATTTGAGTCACTCAAATTGAGCTTTTAAAGTCGTTAGCATACAGTATTCAAAATTGTTTATTATAAGATGCGGGATAACATGATTGGAGTAAACACGCGATGTAAAAAATTATGGAGGATTTAAGTGCGACCGATTATAAGGAAAGTGTCTGTGATTTATGCTAAAATAATATTTCATGCTTATTCCTAATTTAACGTATGTACTTGTTAAATACTATGAAATTTGTATATAGAATTAAGTATTAGTGTGTATAATTTGTCGCTGATTTGTGACATATACGAAAATTTTAACTATGTATTCAAGGGAAAATGAATCGGTGTACTTGACGTGTCGGTATAGTGTAACTTTGTTACAGCGGAGTGGCACGGTGACGTGCGCATACGCGCTGAGATTATATGACCAAACTGTTCCGCCGAAACAGGGCTATGCTGACTGTCTTTTAAGTTAGTGTTTTCTAACACGTATTCTATGACGTTCTCTGTAATCTCTGTACGCCAGTCAACATAGCTCACTTTCTCGACTAGATATTGGTAAGATATATTTAATCCACTAGCTTTTATTCAGCAAATTTTATTACTGTTTCTATTTCAATTAATTTTAAGTTTAAATGTATTATGTTAAGCATCACAAGAATAAAAATAGTTACGGTAATTTTTTTACATTTTACATTACATTTTAATACACTTGGCTTAAAAAAATACGATCGCCTTATATTATTATCTTATTCCATGTTTGTTTATTGATCGATTATCCATTTTTATTTTTTATCTGTGATCTTGTTCATTCATCAGTTTCTGAACATAATATCTATTTTACTTATATTTTAAAATACTTTTTTCAATACTTATGTTATGTTTATTTTATATGAGAATTACGATTTTATTTATTTGAAAAATGACCTTTACAATCAAATTTATTATTACATCGAACCAAATATATTATGCGTAAATGTGAAATAGGCTAAGTTGATATGATGGGATGGCACCACAAAGATCAACTCATGTCGCGATATAAGACTGCACTCAACAGTAGCAGTACTATTAATAAACAAGGTTTAGTGTCAGAGTAAATTTAAGATAAAATTGCAATTTTAGTGTTAGTCCAAATTCATATTATACAGAGAATATGGCAAACCTTCTACCTTCTAGAAATAAATATAACTCCCCTAGAACCTCTGTTTAAAAATATGAATTGTGACTAATACTAAGTGCAGTCTCAGCGTAAATTTACTCCAATGTTAAAACTTGTTTATTAATAACACTAGTAGTATGTATCGTTATTATATCAACGCATTTAGTGCGATCCGCTAGGGCGTTTGATGTTCTGTCTTGTGCTTCGTGGCGCTGCACGGTTATATAAACTTGACATAAGGGTGGACCTATATCTGGCAGAAGATCTCATTTGTAGCAAAACGTCAGACCAGACAAATATTCGACTTATATTTCAACCGACGAATCATTCGACGGATGATCTTCCGAGAGACGCATATCTGGTCTTCCTTTAGATATGTGTCCACCCTTAAAAAATAATTTTAACATTACTTTACTCTCAGCGATAGTTATGCCAGTGTCACTTCTAGGTATCAAGTTATATAAGTACTGATGTAATTATATAATTTTGCGAATAATCTGCTAGTTTTATTTACTTTCATTTCTGATATATGAATAATTGATTAACTATCAAACCTATTCTGTATGTATTAACGACCAAGCAGTAGGTAGTAGCCAATATACTGTCTATTTTTTCTATGGGCGTTTGTGCGCTACACTGAATTTTCAAGTCCGGCAGTTCGACTTTTTCCGATCCGATATGTTAGGTCTAGCATGTGCACTGTCCGAAATTTTACTTTTTCTATTCCGGACCGGCTTTTTCCGGTCCGAGATGGCGGTAATGAAAAACGTGTTTACGCTTGTGCACTGCTGTGTCCGCGATCCGGAAAATTCATGAGCCTGCGGAGTAGGCTTAGAAAAGAAGACTATATTTATTTCGGAGATATCGCACACCTAGATCTAAACTAAGACAACTCAAAAAACTAATGTGGAGGTCGGACAATACATTTGTTTACGTGGCAGGAACGCGACCACTGTTGATTCCGCAAAAGAAAGCTAAAGTTATCTAGAGGCTCATCCCCGAACCTTTATTGAATCTGTTATGTCAGATAGATGCATATGATCACCGAGAATTTGAATATTGTACAAAGTCAAAACTCACTCAAATTTTTGAGTTGTCTCAGTTTAGATCTAGGTGTGCGATATTGTTAATTTCAGATATCTGAAATATATAAAGGATTTATTTTTTATTATTGTGTTATGGAAATCTGATACGATAAATGTACTGAAGTCATCAGCGCAGACCTTAGATCATATAAAAAATATTTTCTTTATTGGTCTTGACACAGAACATAGAGAGAGATTAGAAGTAGTAAGTGGGCGCTTTTACTCATATGACGCCCTTTCCTCGGTTTCACGTTTGTCAGTCGTTCGTCAATCGTCGAGTGGTGATTTTACAGTTTTTTTTCTATAAAAAATGCCGTTTTGTGCTATTATCTCTTGCAAAAAGCAAAGCAAAGTATACAATCTAACTAATGCAAACATTTCCTTTCACCGGTAAGTACAATTTTAGTGCTAAAATATAAAAAACGTAATAATTTGACACAATGTTAAATAAAATATACATTGATTGCTAAAACCAACATCAATGTTTCTGACACCATTACTAGACAGCAATGTAAACCATTTTGTGCACTTTTGCAAAAAATAGTGCTGTGCCTCCATTTGTCTGAAATGTACCGATAGGCTGCTGCTGCTCGGAATCGTATTGTTAATTATATGGATCGTAATCGATAACTAAAACATATTTATTTAGAGCCTTTCTTTCATCATTTCATAACAACGTTATGGATAAGTATATGCCATAATTATATAAAACTAAATAATACTGTTTACAAGGGAAAATAATAGATGCACTGATACTGAACAAATGAAATAATGAACTATCCAGGCACTTTTTTTTACGAAGATTCGGTTAATTATTTACACGCAGATAAATATTAAAAAATACTGATGTGCTATAAATATTTAAGTTAGGAAGTATATCACCGTTTTATGAACAATACATAAATCAAACGAAACTTCGTGAAAAGCTAAGAGAGTTGGCCTAATAGGTCTTATTAGAAACTGGTGAAACTGGATTTCACTTATTTTGCATTACTTATATTTCAGTTTCCCTAATAACTTTACAACGGATTGCCCTGTTTACATAATTTATTTTTCCCTATCCGTTTTAGACCTAAACCTATCAAATGAATTTCAAAACAACATAAAATCTATACAAACAAAAAATCATGTTTTCATCTAACGCAATATTGTTGGTGGTGTGAATTTAATTTACAAAATTAATTTATAGGCGTGAATTTAATTTTATTATGCTGATTCAAAATCGGAAACCATTATTATAGAAATCGAATTAAGATAGCCACTTTAAAGAACCGCCCACAGAACGGCTTTTATATTTTTTTTTGTTGCTCAATATTTGCACAAAAGTTTATAGACGCATGTCTCAAACGGATGTGACTTTATATGTAGATTGACTTATGTACGCACTTATCGCTTTTGTGTCTGTCTTCAAACTTTTTTGTCATGGCTTTCAAACTCATACTTGACCAGCGATTCCTTATTGTCCAGCCGTTGCAATTAATAATGTAGGTACTATTATTATTACAGATATAAAACTTCGAATAATAAAGTAAAACAAACATGGCTATGATCAATTTATTATTGTAATGATCATGTTAGTTATTATGAAATGAAATGATAATATCTTTATTCAAGTAGGCTATACAATATTACAAGCACTTTTGAATCGTCCAACATTTTTTTTTCCTCTACCACTTGTTCAGGACGTCTTTTAGCTGACAAGAAGAACAATCGAAAGAAACTTACCAGCTCTCTGTCATAATAGTAGTAACATTTACATAAATCATGTCATTTCATATCAAATCACAATAATAAATAAACTTCCAAAGTCTGTAGGATAGGACATAGGTTGAACATATAATTAGTCTTTATAGAACAAAGCGAAGGCTATTAATTCCATGCATTGTGATCCTTAAAATAATCATCAACTTTATAATAGCCTTTACTCATAAGTATATTTTTTACATGAATTTTAAATTTATTTTTGGGTAGGTCAACTACATATTATGGAACTTTATTGAACATAGCAATGCTAAATGCATTGCTATGTTCAATAAATTATCCTCTGGTTTTCTGAGGTCTGAAGCTTGGAACGGAAAAATTATTTTTATTTCTTGTGTTAAGATTGTGAACACTACTTTTTTTTGTGAAGGAATCGTAATGTTTTCTTGCGTACTCATATTTTCATAGATGTATTGAGAGGCAACAGACAAGATATATATTTTTTTTTAATATTTCTCTTGTCGAACTGAATTACATTTAACTGTTACATAACAAAATTTAAAGCTCTTATTTTATCAACTAATATTATGCCCCATCAATAATATGCACAATCGGAATGATACCAGTAAGAATAAAATACAAATCAGGCTTAATGTGATTAATACAAAAAATCTGTTGTTTTCTTATTTTTTGTTTTTTTTTTTACACTTTGACTCGCCTAATTATATTACTCCACAGACGTGATAGAGTTTATCATTACATTTTCTTAGTTTTTGTACTGCGTTTTTTTATGAGATATTTTATTAAATTATATAGGGAAAAGCGTTATTTTTCACTATTCACTTGGTTACAGCAAAATCTAATCTTAATAGTTCGCACATAAAATGATGTCCCCAATTTTTTAAAATGTGCATAATCTTTAAAAAAAATGCCCTTCTGGTATCCCCGTATACAAGCTGGACAGTCACACAAGAAAACAACGGTACCCAGTAAACTCGAAGACTTACTAAAAGAATTCAAGAACTACAAACCACTTTACAAAATCATTCTCAATACTGGAGTCAAGATTTAATTTTATTATTAATACCTATAATAATGTATGGCTCAAAAGGACTTGAATCCAGAGCCGTTAAGCTCAATAATAAAAAAAAAAAAGCTGGACAGTCATGTGACAGTTCAACATTCATGTTAAAGTAAATTATTTATTATCACGTTAAATTAGAGTTTATTTTTAATCGTGTGATTTCTTAGCTTAGTATCTTTTTGGGATTTTGTTTATGTTATCGCGAACGTATCGCGTTGCGGTTTTTCATGTAGTGAACAAAATGATCATTTCATCTAATCTGTATTTGTGTGCGGAGAGGCGACACTCGGTTTCCATACTAAATTAATATCATTATACTTCTAATCTCTCTCTATATGTTCTGTGGTCCTGACCATGATTCAAAACCTCAGTAATGGCAAAATATGTTTATTTATTCATATTCATAACAATCACTTTTCACGAATATTGTCTATTTCAATATCAGTGATGGGAATTTATGCATTATGAATGCACGCTATTACATTATTTATTTTTGAATACTTGAAATTAAAAAACAAACTATTATTTTTCAAGATTATGATATCGATATTATGCTTTGCGCATATCGATATTATGCGCATAGCATTAATTTTAATTTATAATTATATTTTAATCTTGAGAAATACAACCATCACTGTTCCTGAACAAGTCGATAGTCGATAGTGGAGACTATGACAAATATAACAAAATGCGATGACTGCTTCCCGCCGGACGACAAAGAGGGTATAGTATAGACAAGAAAAAAATCTATATATTTCATTCCAATGAAACTAGTTTTTATATTTCTACATTTATTTATTTTGCAAATTTAAAATCATTGTACTTACAATGTACCATTCTTAAAAGAACATAAATTAATCGTACATCGATCTAAATAATAAAAGAATCACTGTCATGTTACTCTATTACATATTATTTCTAATAGGATGATAAATAAACAATAATTTTGGTACAGTTTTCGTATTTTCACTGCCTACTGCACCTATTATACGTATATATCATTTTTCTAAATAAATAAAGTAATTATAATACTGAACGCAAGTGGATTAAAACTATAACTAATCAATAGTGCAATGCAGACGTCGAACGTCAAAAATACTCAAGATTCACTTTGCTATCTACAACACAGAATATTATTTTCTAGACATTTAGACTTACGTATATAAAATATACAGAGAATTTCAAACTATTTGCGACGTAGACGAGGTAGAGATCGTGATTAAGATCTTACAATAGCGGGTGCAATAAATAGCAAAAGCGTTTAAAAGATTTTCTATTTATACCTATTAAAATGCATAATGACAGTGGAAATATTGTCGGACACGACCGAAAAGGAATAAAAATAGTTTCGAGAAAAATACTTTCGATCACTTATATAGGTAATAAATACTCACGTAGTTCCTGTTAGGATGTTAATAATACTTTTTTTTCCTATACCTATAGAGATCTTTGGCAAATACAGTAATGTGAAGCATACCTAGATTGTTATAAATTGTGTAAAGCGGCAATCATATTTAACCCGCGCCACGGGCGGGTATTTTTTTTTCACACATATGCTCGACATCGACAATTGGGACTATATATGAAAACGTTCTAAGCGACGCGGGGCGGGCGGGTTAAAAATAAACGCAGAATTATATAAAGTTCTATCAATAAACTCTCACCTACATTACTGTGCAGATACCGTCATTAGTTTGATTATGGTCAAGACAATTACATTATTAAATACTTGCAATCAAAAGGTATCATTTTTTAATCGACTACATATTTCTATTTAGCTAAATGAAAAAATATGTGAGAACGCTGACTGTTATAATATTTTTGATCATTGTGAACATCCATTGTTACAGATTATATTTAAAACACGAAACAAACCTCATCTACCTAATTAACAATCACTAAATGTACGTGTACACCCAAAATTACTTAATGTGCACTAACATTTAGTAAAATTAGGTCTGCAATTAGAATTATTTTGGTATTGGAAATGAATATTTCCCGTTTTTAACGAGGTCACTTCAAATTAAATGCTGCCCGTTTTATTTGTAGTTTCGACGGATAACTCTACTGTTTGTCGGTGTGTATAGCATAACGTGCAGAGAATCAAAGATGTTAGTGGTCGTATCCGAACAGCGTTTTCGGCTTAAAACTTTATGCCGGCTTGCACTTGAGCCATTATCTCCGCAGATTTACGCAGCTGTGCCGTCTCAGCCTCGGTGAGGGGCTGTCGTATTACGTCTGATACACCCGCGCTGCCCAACACACATGGTAGAGACAAGAACACTTCATCCTCAATACCATGTTCACCCTGGTGACAATACCAAGTTATGAGTTAGTTAGTTTTAAAGAATATAATACTGACCTAAATAGTGTCAACAAAATGACTAAATGTGTATCAACAATAACAATATTGTGTGCACTTAGCAATATAATCCACAAACATAGTTATTGTGTAAATTAATAATTTTTTATTTAGACTTACTGCAATATATAGGGTTACAAAAACATTATAAATATCCACGATTCTGAACTTAATACTCAAGAAAATATGGTTTAAAATCAATCGGAAAGTCGTTTTTTTTGAGTAATTCGATGTACAATCGATAATATTTGCGTCTCATCAATACCACATAAATATAAATCAGTTATAATAGAAACAGTCTTTTACCTTCAAGTACGTAGAAACGGCGTGCACGCTGTTGGCATTCGAAAGAATAGCACGTGCGAGCTGCGAGAGCGAGAGACCGATAGCCCAGGAAGTGTAGCCCTTCAGTTTGATGACCTCGTACGCACTCGTCACTACCATAGCATGAGTCTCTTTCCAATTCTCCGGGTCTTCATCCGATCCGATTTTAGGGTTAAGGTCACTTAGGCGCACACCCGCAATATTCACCCCAGACCATACTGGCACTGTTTGACAAATGTTATTTATTAGAATACTACCTACCTATTATATAAAATAACTTTATTCTTACAATTTAATAATGTTTCCTTCATTGATTCTGAACTATCATAGAGTGCCAATTACATGTAGGTACAGTAGGTACTATACAACAGATGTGATTAATTGACGTATCTGAGCAGAAGGCAAAATTTTTAAACGCGGATGATCAGTCAGCCAATGATTCAAGTTAGTGCATTTTACACCTTATGTTTATAGAAGCAAGACTCACTAAACATTTTAATCGCACATTAGGCCATCATTGGTATTTGTAGATGTATAATGTAGACGTATGTACTGTACCTACCCAACCATGGCGCCTCATAGCACAGAATCTGTTTCGACTGTCGACAGATAGCGCTAGTTAACTTCTTTTTATAAAAAAAATACAATATTTTAAACGTTTATTAATTATTTACAAATTATTTGAGCTTATGACGTAATTTAATCAAGGTTTTAATATGAGCCAAAAATATTATTTTAAAAAAGTAAACATGTTTTTGGTAACAAAATCAAATTACAAAATTAGCGCCATCTATACATCCAAAAGAAACGAGATCGTGATGACAAAGTATTCAGTACTGACCGCTGCTGTCACCGTGCTCTCCGATAATGTACCCGTGGCAGGAGGTGGGCGCGATACCCAATCTCTCAGATAGTAGGTACCGGAACCTGGCCGAGTCCAAATTGGTGCCGGATCCGATCACACGGTGCTTCGGTAGTCCGCTTATCTTCCATGTAACGTACGTCAAGATATCCACGGGGTTGCTCGCGATGATGAATATCGCATCGGGGCTGTACTCCACCAACTGTTGTGACAGATTATAAGTTTTGCTATAAAAAATGAAACAAATTATGTAACTCGTAATTTATTACTAATATTTTTCTTTCTTGTACCGAAGTTACAGTTAGTGCCGTATTGTTTCTTTTTATGAAAGAAAAAACAATCAGTCAATCCGAACTACGATTTTTTAATAGGTAGGTACCGATTCTTACAGTCATGATTACTTGATAATCATTGCTGCTTTTTTTTAAATTTATTAATCATTGATTGAAAGTTTTAATTATAAAACTTTGACGTTTTGAAATACAACCTATTATTCTAGAATACTAATTTTCTATTGTACCTACATAATGGGTTGTATTTCAAAATTTGCATTTTGGGAAATAAAACGCATTTTTTATTAAGTAGGTATCAACACATGTAAAATATACATATAAATGTGTTGCGTGAAGAGCTCGTCGAAGAGCGCTGTTCACGTCTTCAAACTATCTCAGGCTATATAACTTTCGTGATAGTTATTCGTTGATGAGATGACAAAATTTATTATTATCTCCGATATCAATATTTCGGCGATGAGTTACAGCACGGCCTGATTCTTTCGATTCCTGCCCCAGCAGTGGGTACATGGATGGATTAACGACAAATTTTTACTTTACCGGTGGTATGATATGTTTGAGGATGTCAGTGTTACGCTGCACGAGGTCCAGCCTCGATTCGCCCTCACGCTGTCGCACGCCCGCCGTCACAATGCACAACTTAGAGCCAGCCGAAATTGAGTAATCTAAAAAACAAATGAAAAGGAACCTTATAAAGATAATAAGACGTATAGTGAATGATTATGTTTCTCATACTGCAATTATAAATAAAACACAAAAAATTGGTAGGTAAAATTCGGTAATATTACTAAGTCATTGTTTGACCACTGCCAAGGAAACGATTATCCTATCCTATCGACTATGAAACTGCCAAATTCCTCCATCTGATTTAGGAACATTCGATTGACGTAATTGCTTACTCGTGTGAGCAAAACATTATGGCTAACCTTTCTCACTTCATAGTTGTAATCGCTCAGCGATGCGCGACAAATTGTCTCAGGAAGGGATTTGTCAACTTAGTATATTCGCAATTTCGCAAATTCGGCTAGATAGCTATTGGTGCGAGTTATCGTTTATTGCATTAGCACACTCGCTTGAAGTCCAGCAACAAAAATAACAGAACAATACACTCGCTCTTCTTTACTTGACAACGGATACAGACTGTCTTGTTCAGAATAACGTATTCAGAATATAAGTAAAACTATAAAATAAAGCTGAGGTTTTCTTTTTAAACTGTTTATAATTAATTATTAATTATAATTTCTTAAAACCTTGTGGTGGAAATTCGTGATGACAAACTGCGCGCTGTTTTGTTAGCTGTATTTGTCAGCGGGACCACGTGCAGATAAACTATGAGCTAAATAAAAGTATATAAAAGCCTATTGAAAAATTAAGCAATTTACCGGTACTGGCTTGAATCCTGGCGTTGCGCATGAAGGCGGAGCCGTGCTGCAGGTCCATCATTTCACCTTTCAACTTGTCCGCCATTACGTCTACTAACGCGATGTTGTTTGTAACACCCTGCGGGAATTATCCATATTTAAAAACGAATAATTATAATCATCATTATGAATATTTATATTTTTTTTATAAAAAAAAATTGTATCTCATAAAACGTAGAAAAAACCTATCCCAAAATGTTAGTTTAGTAGAATCTCAGTTTGCCTTTAGATACGTTCACTAACAGTCAAAAACAGTATTTTATAACTATTACAAAAACAGTATTTTATAATATTTAGTAAGTATCTGTTTATGTAAATGTTTCTCAGGCGGATACTAGTAATGAATTGCATCATTATCACTGTAAGTCGGAAGACTTCCATTTCAGGACAAAGACCTCCCTTGAGGATCCTACTTCGCTACTTATTTGAGGGAATTTACTAATTCGCTATAATTGTCGTTCGACATTCTTAGCCAAGTGCCCTATTCATGGGCACATCAGATTGTTATTCCTTTAGGAAGTATTGTAGATATACAAATTTTTGTACATGTCGGTCACCTGGGATCGACTGCGTATCTCTTTATAAATTATTCGATCTCACAAAGTGAATCCGATTTTAGCTCTCTGAGTTACCTTCTGAATGACTTTCAATTAAACTGTCTTTATTATATGAAGCATAGAGCGGCCTCGTCTAAGTGGCGTTGGTACGTCATAACTGGTACAGATATTGGTCATAAACATTCGCATTGAGCTACTGCAGTATTGTAACTGTGTAGTATAAAGAGGAGTATTCTTGGGTTTCTCATGTTTTAAAATATGATCCATTGCACTGACTCTCGACAGGTAATTCAGGTGGCGCATAATATGAACACTATAGGCAACTTGAAAAGGGACAGAGTTAATCCAATTGTTATACTGTTCTCTCTATTGCACTGTGGGAGACTCACTCGACTCTAATTTGCTCTTTGGTGTTCTGAGAATTCTTAAATGAACGATTTTTGTGTAATTTTCTTTGTATGATTACCATAAATATACATAGTTCAAGGTCTTACAAAATATATTCTTTACACTTTTAAGGGAATAAACCTTAGTAACAGGAAAAATAACCTTGTTTAGTTACACATAGCTCTGTTTATGTCATTCCAATGTGACTTCAAGTTCCAGTGAAGCTTATACATTGGTTATTGGTAGTAAGGCCGAAAATATATAAGAGGATCATCAGCTTTACCAGACGTACAGAATTTGAAAACAAAATTAGAAATCTATATTTTTGTACTTACTAATTTTAGTTTAGTACAATGTATTCGAAACAAATATTTTACGAGTTACATATCGACGCTGGAAAGCAAACACGTAGTAACCAGCAAAACCAAATTGGATATTTAGAATGGAAAATCTTTATATTTTTCCAAGAAAAAATATCTTCTTTTCGTATAAATTTACTAAGGAACACCTAATTTGTTACCATGGACGTTTATAGGACTTATTTATCGAAAAAAATTAAAGTTTTTCTGCTCTAAAGAACAATTTTGGTTTTGCGGGTTACTACGTGTTTGCTTTCCAGCGTCGATATACACTCATCTGTGTACCTAATCAAAAATGATTTAAATCTCGCTTTTCTCACTTAGTAGGTATTAAAATATAATTTTTGATACATCCAAAAAATTTCAAATCTCCACTGCTAACTGAACAAGAACTGGACAATATTGTGTTATCTTGCGTGCCAATAATCGATTGTCTATTTATGTCTAGGTATCTGTTATTATCATGATGTTGGTATATGAAATGTAATTTACATATTGGTATGATACAGATCTTATCGAAACAAAATAACACGTGTATATCTATAAATATATTCTTCGCTTTCATTGAAGTGTTGTGAGCCTTTCCACTTAAAATATTTTATGGGAAACACATATAACTTTTACAATCCAATACAGCCCTAATACAATCCTAATACAGCCATGAAAACAGGTAATAATATTGGCATATATAGGTAATACACAATCACTACCGCTTTGATAAGCTGATTAAAATTTTACACTGTATTGGTAAAAACATTGCAAAGATTCAGCTCAATCTACCGAAAAATATAACTAGTTACCGAATTTATTTTTTATCGCTAAAATGATAGAATTACAGTTTCTATTCTATTTTTCACTAGTATGAACATAATCTCTTACCCCTGCTGAGAGCAGCATGTTTGTACGCTCTCGTCTATATAAAGAGATTCATTTATAACCGAGCTTCCCTCACCAGCATACAAGGGAATGGGTACATCTCCAAGGGGATGACATACTGTAGGATTTTTATTGGACACTACGTAACGCGTTTGCCCTATATGTATTATCTATACCTCTTTTCTGTTTTCTGTGATCTATACATTACGGAATTCCAGTGCCGCTAGAAGAAAATTCGTCCAAAAATGCAAATTAAGTAATAGGGATTCAAGTTGTGATGAATTTAAAAGAAATAAGTTTAGATATAATCAGTATAGTGTAAGTCATATATTTATTAAGAGTCACTTGAGACAAAAGAATATATTATTATTGTTTATTCTGATTCAAAACACAATACATCTCCATTTTATCCGGTAAGATTCGTCAGCTTAAGTAAAATAACGTATGTACATTCAGTAGAACAATGCTGGCATTGCAAGAGTAAAAAATACATTTAGATGCGGCAGGTATCAAATGCGCAGTAACAATCGAAGAAATAAATGACAAATTTCAAATTTCAATAATCTTTGGTGTGGCATAGTTTTTTTTTCAGCACCAAATACATATCGCTATATATATTATGATAGGTATTAAACGTTTATGCAATGGTAAATTTATACCTACTCATTTAAAATGAATCATTAATCAAATGTCATCAAATTCATTTTTATTAAAGCTTCTGAAAAGTTAAAAAAATATTATTATATCATTATTCTTTTGAATTTATGTTGCCGAATATGTACCTTACATTAGTTTATTTTTCTTTTGAAAGTCGGCAGTAACAACAAGTTATTTGTTAAGAAGGGCATTGCATTTGCGGTTAGTTGCATTTTTGTCTCGCTCCAATTTTTTTAGTTAACAGTTATCTTCAATCGTTGATTTGTATAAGTATACATTGATATCAGAATTAATACCAGTCTCTCCTGCTTATACATATAATCGTACGTACTTGCTGGTACCAGCGGCTTTTAGTGGTTTCAGAGCATATTTTGGAAGAACAAAATCAGTTTGACCGTGAAAGAACCGTGAAAGAACAGACAGATAGTAACGTTCGTATTTATAATATTAGTATGGATTTATTTAAAGAATGAATATACTACGCTGAGTGTGATATAACTGGATTGATGCCAGATTAAAATAAAAGAGTTAAAAAGTGAGTGAACTTTTGATTTCTGTAAAAATAATCTATATAATTGGTGCCAGGGTAAATGTGAATGCTATATAAAATCTACTTTAGTAATGTAACAAGGAAAAAGAGCACAATTTATAATGGCAGTTGCCTACCTACTATAGTCGTATTCTCATAGAAGGCACCCATTTAACAAGGACGACAAAGGTCAAATTACTACAGAGTTTCAATTGAACAACAATTTATTATACTCTCTTTTACGTTAAAAATGAATTATTAAATATTATCTATTATATGGTAATCTCCGATGAACCTAATGATATTTTGTTTTTTTTTTTTATATAAAAATTTCAAGATAAACAAAAAACACGGTACAAAAGAATTTAAAAAAAATACATAAAAAAATTAACTTAAATAAAAACTAAAAAGAAAGAAACAATTCGTTTTTACGCAGTCGGGTTTTTTTGTTTTTTTAATTATTTATTTTATTTTTATAATATAAATAATTTAGGATGAAAAATGATAAAAGGAACCTAAAAATGAATGAATGAATTTTGATTACTGTCATGTCTTTAATGACGCTCGCAAGGTTAGGACGAATCGATTGCCGTAAGAATCATCAAAATCGGCCTACGCATTTGGTCTCTAGAACGTCACATAGAAACACAAACATAGACTAATAAACACATTACTCTCCTTTTCGTCGCGCAGTCGGGTAAAAACTACTTGATCGAGAAAAAGCGAGTGACACATAGGCACACACATTTTATTCAAGAGAAGTGCTACATAGTCCTCCATAAATTTACGACAGAAACTTTTTTGGCTAATTATTATGACTCATTTTAAAGCATCGATCAAAAATCATTAATATTAATATTTTAAGAACGTTTTAAATTATTTATAGAGTCTTAGTCTATAACATACAGATCTAGGATACCTATAGAATAGAATATGCGAGTTTCCGCATTTTTATGTCCTATGTAGACAGTCAAAAGATAAGCAGACAGTGAAGTCATTGTAATAAAAAAAAAAAACCTGTAAATGAGGTGCGCTAATGTGACTCAACTCATATTTTCAAGTTTACTAATAAGTAAGTGTTCAGAAAATTGAGTTAACTTTTCAATAATATTTCACTATAATATCATGAACGCTTGTGCGTGCAAAATTATATACTCACATAACATTTTTCTTCTGCACGGATAAAGTATAATGGACGAGATAATATTTCGGGAAAGTAACCTAGGCACTAATGTTATTTAGGTTAAATTTCGTCGTACTCTGCTTAGCCGTAATTTCGTCGTAATTTGCTGCCGTTTCGCAAAGGAATCTAGCAGATATAGACTTCGATTTTTTAATGAATACCGAATTAATAAGTGTACCTATGGATCACGTACTATTATAGCACACATATTCAGTTTATCGATGTTCTTGAGATTTATTTCATCAGACGTACGGTATTTAGTATATTTTCAGCCTTACATTCATTACAAAGTGAATGATGCAATATGTTTTAATACAATCGCAATGCACATTAAATAGGGTGCGGTAGAAAGTTAGGTAGGGATAATGTGTGAGGGGAAGTTACCTGCGTGAGCAGCGAGAATACTGCCGCCATACCCACTTGACCGACACCCACTACGGTCACCTTGCTGCCTGTATCTTCAGCCTTCTCCTGCACGGGCTGGAATAATTTATCTATTGTTGCCATTTTCCCTAAACAAAATTAAAAAGAGAATGTAGAAAAAATAAACACTGGTGAGTAATTTCTGTAGAAATGAGTGACAGAAATAAGAAGTCTGATGACAAAAAATCACCAGTGCGCGCGTAGCCTTACGTCACATTACTAAAAATTACAACAATCAACACATTTATAAATTTTTGCAATCCTAGGTTTTTAAGTAGATTTCACAATTTCTTAATCTTTGGTTTACCTATTGATTGTTGATTGAGCATTCATGAATTTATGTGAATATCAATAATTTTTCTAGACTAAATGGAAAATACTATTTAATTTTATTGAACTTTGCACAAATAAAATTCTTATACTCAAATGATATAATTACACGGTTGTATGTTATGAGAGTAGGAAATGTCCAAAACGTTCACATTAATCAATTTACCACACTCTACTGAGTAAACAGATTAAGCTGATCTAAAGTGTAAAATAATTTTTAGTTTAAAAGTATATGTATCAGTTATGTCTGATAACACGCGATAATTATTAAATGCAATCAATGAAATCAAATATAAAAATTTATGGTGGCTTCTCACATTTAAAAACAGTTTAAATAAAATGTTAAACATTGATTTACTCACAGCGGCCGTTACCATAACAGTTGTGATTATTTTCCGCCATTGTCCTTATTTTATATAATTTAATTAATTACTATTCTTCGCGATCAAAACATCGATGTAACGTAAAGGACGCTGACAGAACGTAGTGCACTCCGCAATGACAATGAATGAACTGCCCGTGACAGACCGATATGGCGCTCGAATGCAACTGGCAGATCCTTTGACTTTCTTTTTTACCGACTAACTAGTCTGACTGGTTTCACGGTTCTGAATGAACTGACTCAGATGCGGGACACACGAAAATATATAACGAAGTAACATGAAATATCTAAGATATGTGTTGAAAGTCACGCACCTCTCAAAATAATTTAAATGAGCTTTACTAAAGAAATTATAATATTTCAGTCTTCTCTAACTTTTAGTCGCAGATAGTATAATTAATCTGGTATGTACATATATATGTAAACTAGCTAAAAGAGAACGACACGATAATTTCGCAAGTTAAGATAGAAATTACCTGCATTATTGTAATTATTACTCTATACATTTTAAGATGATGAGATACTTAAGTAGTATAATTGTTTTGAATTAACAAAAACAAATTGCAAAGTTAGGTTCTTTTTGCAAAGTTAGATTGTTAGATTCTTTTCTTGGATTTACGTGACTAATGAAAAAAAAATAAACTTGTTAAAAACATCACGACAAATATCTGTTTGTCTTGTTCAAATCTGAGTTGTATTGATGAAGGCTGCAGAATTAAAGACTTGTATGGAAAAATGGTATATGATGGTTCAGGGCGTCACCATTTTTGAATGTGCGATTCCCGGACGTGTTAACTATGTGTATTTTAGATATTGCCTCGGCTTAATTCTAAAGGGGGTGTCATTTAAGAGTGGGTGAATTAAATAATTTAAAAATATCGTAGCGATTCAATAGACTTACTAAATGGTTCTCAGTTTTATATAACCAATACCATCTTTTGGCAGTCAAAAATAACGGTACAGTGCGCGACAATTTTACTGAAAACTGAATTAATGAAAAATGAATGAAGATGAAATAATTTGTCGTCTTATATGTAGTTACGTATATTGTATTCAAAGTCTCATAAAAATTCATGTCTGCTCTTGTGTTATTCAAGGTCCAAAGTTACAAAGGTTTTTGTGTTTATCTTATAAAAACAATTTAATCTGCGACAAATTTGGTTTGAATATTTTTATCGTGATGCGTGTGGTGTAGCGCAACATACGATGAACTTCAGTCTTACCTGCATAATAAAATATCATGAAATATAAAGTTCAAACTTATAAAAATGTCTAAAAATATTTTGATAATTTAATAACTTTATTCTAGGTAATATTCACGGACGTTTACTGGTTATAGGTAGGTATGTATTTACAATACAAAACCTATGAGCACCACCCATTTTTGCCCTTTTATGCCAAAAAAAGACACAAATGCCGAGTGTCAAAAAAATGTTTAGCTGAAAATTTCTGTTTTTAATTCTTATTCGTAAATAACATTAACGAAATGATAGAAACCAAGATATCGCGAAAAAATTAATGTACTGGCGTACGTTTAAATTAAATTTTCCAGATTAATATTTGACTGTGCTAAAAATATTATGAGTTGGATTAGCACCGTGTATAGTACCTATCTACTTTACGGATGTTATGGCGTCTAATTCGTTACTGTTACGTCGTTATCCTATTTTAACAGTGAGTGAGTCATCATCATTGAAATTATGGCGAAACTATGACCTAATAGGTAGCTACTTAAAGCAATATTCAAAAATTTATATATTTTTTCACTATCTTTTACATTAATTGAAAATTATTGTCCACAGAAAACTGTTACATGCGAGTTAAAAAATAATAGTAACGGTACTTAACTGTCGCAAAAAAATTGAACGTGAACTGAACTAAAGAAACTTTTATCTGTCCGAGCGAGCGTCTCGCGCCGGCCGGCGAGCGGCGGCGAAAATGCATGAAATTCGATGACACAAAAAAGAAAACAATGAACTAGGTAATAGACACGATATAATATTTTATAATTGGGTAATAAATTTAACTTACCTTCCTTAATAGCGATTTACGCGGAGCTTGTCACGTAACAAACGCTGACTTTGTAGTCGTGGTGGCGTCCGCTCGGATCCCGCGGCTGTGCCTCAAGGTGACCTTCACCAATCCGTTTTGGATGCCACAACAACGCGCATGTCCGAATTAAACTAGCCGCCGTAGGAAAACACACCATAACACCGCACATCAAACAACATTACCGCGTGCATAACATTTCTCTTACAGGACTATGTTGAACACGCGTACATACCGACTGCTGTTTGGCGTTTAATTGGAGTATTGGACCTAGGCGTTTAAAATAGATATTCTTGAGCTTTTTCTGTATAACAAGAAAAATGTCATTGTGGCTGCTTATTGGATATAGCTAGTTGGGTTCTTAATGATTAGGTACAACTTCTTATCCGTGGAAATATTTGTATACACGGAAATACCTACTTACAAATTGAGAATTTTGGTCAGAAAATTTCAGACACTAATACTACCTATTTAATCCCTTTCATAAAGAGCTAATCGCAAAATCAAATATACCTATAATGTACATTTATTGAAAATCTTTTCCGAATAATGACTAAACATCTTTTGAAAACCTTTGTCAGTTATTTTACCTCAGAAATTTATGGGTCTAGTTATGAGAGTTGTAGATGCTTGGGTATACTTCTAAAAGATGAGCATTTTTAGTGACTTATTTGGTTTAATGTTGAATATAAAAAAATATATATATTTTGAGGATTATCTATGAAAACTATACTGGGGTAAAACTTTTTTGGTCCAGGGAAATTATGCCAGAGTGTGTAGGACTCGTTATATGCTCGAAGACACACCTCGCTCAGTATGATGATCTAGATTTGTTTGTAGCCTGTCTGGAGCTAATATATAGGAAGTCTTATGAAATACTTTGCCTTTGACCATGTTGCAATATTATTTTATTTTTTGGACATTGCTACTAATATTGATTTAAATTTTTGACGTAAATGTGTTTCTATGACAGTTCATCTTAAGTTCTTTTACAAAATTGATATCTCTTATTACTGACATTACAATCTGCGTCCATTATTTTTTTTTTAAATTAATTGTTGTATGTGTTATTGATGATAATTTGATGTTATTTTTTTTAATAATTCTTTGTTTATATTATACTAGCTTTTGCCCGCGACTTCGTCCGTGTGGTATGGTAACTTTGGGCAGCATATATTTTCCAAAACACTGTTGTTTTTCGAGCGGATGATGAAATTACCTTGATGTTTAAACTTGAAGATAATACAACAAAACAAAGAACAACAAATATCCAATATGTTTCAGCACTTTAGCTTTGAAACCTTTAGAGATTTTAATCCAATCCAATCCAATTTGAAATACAGATGAAAAAAAAAACACAGTTATGAAGTTTACACAAAATTCTTTGAAAGAAACATTAGCGCAGATTACTTTAGAATAAACGCCATCTAGTATAGTTCAAAATAAATAAAAATATTTTTTCTTTCGTAAACGAAATTACTTCCATTTGAACATTTTTACGAAAAATAATCAATCATATAAATAAACAATGGTTGCTATGGTAAGATGAATGTAATCTTTAAATTTCAAATCTCTATGACCAGCGTTTTAGGCTCACTCCTTTTCAAGTGTCCTCCAATATATTTTTATCATCTTCTGGAGCTAGGTCACAATCCTGTCTTTATCATAACCTGTGACATATCCATAAAATTATAGAAATAACCTTTGCTGCTACATCTTAGCACTGCACTCCTACATTTATCTCACTAAACATAATCAAGTAATTGTTTTCTGTTGCTTAGTCAACCTACTTTCTTTAATTTGTTGTAAACCTTAAAAATAAAATAAATAATGAATCACAAAAACAATGACCTATCAGCGCTTCTTACTAAAACTTACGTAACTATTTTATACAAATCATTCATTGATCTGGCCAGGCCGCATCATGATGGGGGCTGCAAGATTTTTCCATTTCATGAAATGACTGGTCGCATCATAAATTGGCCAATTCTACGATCTGGCCACGACTTATATACATGGAAACCTGTACTAAGGTGCTAACATTATATGAATGAACAAATGTATAAAATAATTTTTCTTTCGTAAACAAAATTACTTGAATTAGAACATTTATATCCATTGAAATTTCAAAAATGTAATATTTACTTAAATACCAATTTTCATCGCTATACAATAAAACATTTTGTAAATAATGTTAGGTAAATTTATTACAATGACAAATAAGATTGTAAACAATGGATGCTATTGTAACATTTTACTACACTTTGGTCTTAGCCAAGATATCTCCCCCTATTCGACATATCCCTACTGACAAATCCAATACCAATATTCATCGACATAGGCACATACCCAAAGAAGTTGCATACAAACCTTTTCACCCTTTTAGAATTGGCATCGGTATGGAATTTCCAAGAACCCGTTCTTAGTACACTTCTTCGTATTAAGGGGAATGTTCGCTCTAAATTTCAAGTTTCTACGACCAGCGTTGTCTGTCAGTCAGTAAGTCAGGACATCTCCTTTTATATATGTACAGATTGTGTATGACTTGCCTGTGCTTTAGAGATTCTCTGTAAACTACCATGATAATTAAAAAAAAGGATAGTCAAATGGCGAATGGCATAGACCTTAACTTACTTAAACCTTATTATTGGACGGATCTGTATTTAGGTACAAGATTAATATAATATCATATTAAACACCGAACATATGCATTTTCTTCTTTGAAAATACTCTTGGAAATCTATAAAGAATTTTCAATATTGATAAATAGTAAACTACCTACGATTTCAGAATACACTTGGGAACAATAAAAAGATGAATGTTTTATCATAAACAAAGTGTATAATAAAACATAAAATTATTTAATTTCTTTATTGAAATAGTTCAATTAATAGACTGAAACATGAATGGATATAACGAGTTACAGAAATTTCCATAACGTTTGACATGAGACGTGATTCTAAACTATTGCCATTAATAATCCTTATTGATTATTGGACAATCTTCATTCTATTTTGGTCGATCTTGATTATATCAGCTGATCTTTGTAGTTGGGTCACTTCTGTTGGGGTCAATGGTAGTCTAACAATATCTGCCACCCCAGCCGCTCCTACCACGCAGGGAACGGAGAGGAATACCTCGTCGTTTATATTATATTCACCCTGATTGACAATGGTCAATACTAATATTAATATAGAGTAAAAAGAGTCGGTGACTTTTAACCACATAAATACTCTTTAAGTTTTTACTTAACATTTTTTTGGCTCTTTTGAGCGTACGAAAAAAAGGTATTTATATAGTAGATAAAAACCTCATAATAATTAAAAATAATCTTAAAATTGAGAATATTACTATAAATGGGTTTTAAAAGCACAGACGCATTAAATTTGATATAAATAAGGTGAAACACGCATGTGAAATGAAGCGAATGCTACAAAAAATTGTAACTCAACTTTGAAATTCAGACTTTAAATCTTTATCAATTCTATAAATGATTTCAATTATAATAAACTTTTATGGACCGAAAAATTAGAAAAAACGTTTCCTCTGTGATATTATAATAACATGTGATTTGATATAGGGATATTACCTTATTCACATATGTTTTGTAAATATTGAAAAAAAAAGGCTAATACATATATATATTCAAAATTGGTGTGCCAATGTGATATAGCCTGAAATTGTTTAAGGTGTACTTTCATCCAAAATAAGAATTACTATTCTCAATGACAATTGCTTAAAAAAACCACCAGTCCCAGGTACCTCAAGATGGGACTCGAACCCACTATCTTTCACTATCCGATCGACTGCTCTAACCACTGAGCTACCCAAGACCCAACAGGACAGACGAATTTCATGATTTTTTTATTATTATAAATTTAATTTAATTGTAATACGAATTTTGACGAGTGACTAATCTTAAACCACCTACCTTGATATAAGTGGAAAGAGGTCTTATGCAGTTTGTATCGTTCAGTATTGAACCACATATGTCGGCTATAGAGAGTGCTGACGCCCATGTGTTACCGCCTTTACGGTCGCGCACCTCCCTCTCACCGAGTAACACCTGTCAAAATGTACCTTAAGTTAGGACATCTATGCAAAACCTATAACTACTCCACACCATCTTTATACCCATTGAAAAAAACTTTTCCATTGTGGAAAAATCGGTATAACTGTTAATGTTTATTCTGATAATTTAACAGGAACAGTCGAGTAAAAATACCTTTTTTAAAGTAAATGTTTATCAATACATAGTATTAAACAAAGTTGCTTTCCGTCGTTTGTCTTTATGTATTTTGATGGGGTTTTTTAATAGATAGGATGGTTCAAAAGGAAGGTTTTTTATGTATAATAGAAGATTATGCGGGCGAAGCCGCTGGCGGAGAGCTAGTAACAAATAAACAAGAATTCGAATGTAGTAAAAACTGTAATAGTTCTTATTTCATTTAAATACGTTTCTTAGTTAACAAATATCAGTAAATAGGTAGGTATGTTCCGACTAGCGTAAAATCCTAATTAGCTTTATAATCTGCTAAGCCAGCTGATTGTTAACATAAGTAGTTAATCAATTGTCGTCCGATTCATCGCACGCCACGCAAGATTAAGAACAAATTTCTCCATTCGAGCGCAAGTAATTTCACAGATATATAGAGTACCTGTCGGTGTAGTTCTGACCAGTTCTCGGGATCCTTCTCTGTGCCAATGTCTGGATTCAACCGGTAGAGGTTGACACCGCCCACCGTCACTCCTGACCAAACTGGCACTAAAAAGTGCGAAATTTACTTAGATACAAAACTAGATGTAACCGCTTTAAAAAATTTGTAGTGTTCCTTCATATTAACAATTCCGAATTTCTTTCTGATGTGGTAAAAGTAAAGATTTTTTTTATTCGTTTTAGAAAAATAATAAACACTTATTCGTCGTATATTTTAGCTCATCGTGTTTACTTTTAATACCTAAATTTCGGAAATTAAATCAAACTTTTTGATACCATATATTCAGTTTCTTTACCCCTATGCTAGGTGTAAAGGAACGAAAATTACTGTCTTTTTTCCAATTAGTTGTCATAATACGTAGTCAAGAATTGATTCAAATATTTAGAAGATATATTAGCCATCTAGCAACATTAACTTCAGTAATTTAGTTTTTACATTTAATTGAAAGTCTAGTTTTTACATTTAATTCAAATTACCGCAGCTGTATCCGTTCTCTCCGATAATGAATCCGTGACAATCGGAGGGTGCGACACCGAGCCTATTGGCCAGCAGGTACTGAAACGTGGCAGTATACAAGTTGGTGCCAGTGCCCATGACACGATTCTTTGGTAGTTCGCTGACCTGCCACGTTAAATACGAAAACACATCCACCGGATTAACAGCTACCAAAAAGATGGTATTTGGACTGTACTTCAATATCTGTAGTAAAAAAAAAATTTTTTTTTAAGCGCCATCACCATCAACGATTTGACTGCAGGTACATTAATTAAAAATTTGTCACTTGCAGCTTCATAAATTACCTGAGGGATCATGGCTTTAAAGACTTCCGCGTTGACCTGTATTGGGTCCACGTACTCATCTTCGATATCGCTATCTGAGCAAGGAGCCAAAATGCATATCTTTGACTCTGATGATATTTCATAATCTAAAATAAAGCAAATAAAACTAATAAGCAACCACAGTAAAAGTAAAAAGCTTACCGGTTTTGTATAGAAACATTTTGTGTTCCAAAAACCTTTGCTTGCACGAAGTTTCACGTTGGGAAGAAATTTTGAGCCAAATTGCAAATCCATAAGTTCTGCTTTTAGTTTATCTTCATGAAAGTCGATTATACTAACATCATTTGTGATCCCCTAAAAATGAGACTTAAAATAAAAAAAACAGTCTCATATTTATGAAGGCAGAAATATTTTAAACACCAAAATAAAGGAAAAAACTTAATGTGCGCTTAAAATTAATATTATATTATGTCTATATTATGTCTTAGTACTTTTTGTAGGTATATTAAGGAATTCCGCGAACGAGATTAGATTTCGCTGATCAGACTTACCTTCGCAAGTAAAGCAAAAACAGTGGCCATTCCTAGATCACCGGCACCAAAAATGGTAACTTTGCTCTTCGGTTTGTACGCATTTCTGGTTAGAGAGCGGAACATTTGATCAAAGGTTGACCGGTACTCCACTTTTCGAGTTTCATTCTCTTTGACTTCTTCTACTTTATCAATAGACTTTGGAATATTCTCCAAAGATGAATCCTCTGTAAAAATCAATCTTGAAATGTATGTAGGGTATTTTAAAAGCATCACACATTTTATTTTACGGCATAAAGCTCCTCGACCTTTTCCAGCCTCGTTCGCCCTTCCACAATCGTATAAACATTACCATGATCACTCTTACGCCGTATGTTATTACGTAATATATAGGGTTTTTGTAAAATACCAACGATCTCCCAAGACTAGATAGTTAATGACTTTATAATACATAGTTCGTAACAATTTTCATTCGTACAAAAATGGTTTCATTTAATTTACCGTTCGAATGTTAATAGATATACGCGCATGCAATATGTAATTACTTCACAGAGTGCATGACGGTAGTGTCGTCCTTTCGTCATTAGATGCGTATTCACTGGGCGAAAACCGTGTAGTAGACTATTGTCTGGCCGAATTTTTTATGCGAGTCTGCAACGTCCGAGATGCCGAGCTAGTTTCGCTGAAGGTAAAGACGACCGGATGTTCGTTGGACAGTTATCGCCGCTCCGGTGTTAATAATGATTCTTCGACTTTTACAGACAAAATGAATATTAAATGTTTATAGATTTAAAATATTTACGAAAACATATCAGACGCTGGGTACAAATATGTACCCATACAGAACGAATAAGCGTTTACCTCGGGCGAGGCACGATTTGCGCGCGAAACATGACAAACTCGAGAAACGTTTTGTCGACACCAAACGTTATTCGGATCGAGGGAGATATTGCATGCGCGCACACCTTGTGATGGTGATCTGTCAGTGAATACGCTGCTTATGAATAGAAAGAAGATTTACAAATATCGCGACAGTGGGATTAAATCTTGAAAATTAATTTTTACTCACGGTATGAAGTTATTGTTAAACTCGTAGAATAGATGTTGTCATTCATAATTTAAGCTGTCTAGTCTTACAAGGTACCAATACGTGTATTTAAGTAATAACCCTGTATAAGTTCAACCTGTCTGTGTTAGGCTTTTAACTACTAAGAAATGTATTTAATGCAGTTTTCACAGCTGGATTCTTAAGGAATATATCATCGCAGGTGCTAATCCGAGTCGGGTTACTACTTATACCCTAAACTTATTTTTTTTTATTACTTACGTCGCTCTGGTTCTTTAACTTGTGGTATAGTTGATGTGGTTAACGAGTTAACAGTGGGAGTTTTCACAGTTATTTTCGGCTTAGAGCGTAAGTATAGCATCCGACTTAAAGTCTGGAAGTACTTACGCATCTTGATCTATTTAATACATAATTTCTAATGTCAAACGTTTTTGGAAGTTTTGAATTTGTAAAATGGACTTAACTCATCGTGTTCTTGCTGTTTTTTCTGTTTTAGTATGTATAAATATTCTGTAATTATTTATTCTGCCATGATATACCTGTGACACTTAGTATTTATTTTTTCTAATTGTCAACTGTCACAGTTTACAATTGATAAATAAAAGAAGTATAAACAATAAGGTTCATCTAATTTTACAATCCGACGGATTATAATACATTATACACAACTCATATATTGTAGTTGTAAGACAAGAATACTTAATTAATAAACCTTGTATATTATGTAGTATTAATATTTTTCTATGACAATGCTAATAATTATTAAACATTTTACTTACATGTTTTAAAAATACGATAGCAAAATATAGACTACCTACGTTTTATGATTAAAGATACATAAAACGTAGGTAGTCTATATTTACAACTAAGTATATATAATAATAATGTATAATAAACCTCATGAGTTGGTAATAAAATTTGTTTTAAGTATTGGGAAAACAATTCAACCACTATATCTAACGGATTGAGTTCTTACTAAAATAAAATGCATAACAAATAAATATATTCGCAATAAGTACAATGATTTAATACGCAACTAATATAAAGCTGTTCATAGTTTAATATCCAAGTAGTGTTATTCAAATATTTTTTTTATATTTAATCATAACGGACGTGTCTCATTCAGGAATTATTATTCATTTAAAAGGGCCATTGTCAATGCACACCTGGTGGATATTCTACTAACAATTTTGTAACTTATAACTTAATAAGGAAGACGTATTTTGTATATTACTGGCATAAGTTCGCATTGGCGCGTATATTATTAATAAAGAATCTCTGACACTGACCGTCTACGCAATCGGGTTAATTCTTAATATTTCTTATAAGATCCAATATTGGATAAATAGTTAAAATTACAAAAAAACCGAGAACAAAACTTCAAATTCATTTATTGAGTCAGGTTATAACTACATTATAAGTAATAGATTATAAGCATTTCTGAAAGTAGAATAATGCCATCTGTTCGCAAATCTACGTCGGAAGACCTTATGCTCTCAGTATACGTATGGACACCTACATTTTTTACGTAATTTATAATTTTATTTTCATAATTTATAATAAAACAACCTAGGAAATAAGAATTAAGCAATGGATGTAACCATTGGACCTGGGTCCGGATATTACACTATGCTGATAGCTTATAAATGAACTAGCCTTTCTACTGGGCAGAAGCTGAAATACTTACCTATTGAGACACGTTCACGCAATTTATTGAGTGTTCTTACTCAAAGCTAGAGGCGTTGCCGAGGCATATTAAAAATAAATTTCTATAGGAACCTTCTTGAAGTCCGCTTTACTGACTTATTGGAACAATTTATAAAAGTATAGTATCCCACTGCTCGATCCTGCAGGTATTTTATTTTTTGATGAAATTAATTTCAAATGAAAGTTAAGGAAGTATACAATAGATTAGCAATAGGTTGCCTATTAAAATTAGCCGCAATTACCTGTAATTAATTTTTATATAATTACTTTGGTAATGTATATTGCAGCTATATGTTTTTTTAATAAATTTTATGTCATTTCAAAGAAAATGATGTGGAGAATAGAAAAAGAAATGGTTACCAGCTCTCGGTCAGCCGCTACGCCAGGGTTGCCAGGTGTAAACAGGTGTATTATTGTTGATAATTTACAGTCATCTGTTTTTTTTTAAATTGAAATGCAAAATAGTTCAATTTTATGAAGATATAAAAAGTTTTCGTGCTACTTCGCCCGCGTAAATTAAAGCCTATGTCACTGTATGTCACGACGTATGATGTAGCTTCCAGTAAGTGAAACAATATTTAAAATCGGTGCCGTTGTTTCAAAACCCAAACATTCAACAAAAAAATTCTTCCTCTTTATATAAGCAAAGAATGCAATGTTTTTAATTTAATAAAACAGCCGCCACAATAACACCTACAAGCTTAGATGACAATAGGCAGTTTGGAATAGATAGCTATTTACAATTATAAATACGGAAGTTTAAAATTAAAGTATCATCATCCAACTAGAGCATTTTTTGTATTTTTTTATTTTTATTAAATTTAAAGTAAAGTGTAAATAGATGTGGGTCAGAGTGGCGAAATAATCACGCGGGTCTTGGTTTTTCACAAGTGTTTATTCGGGTAGAATTACCCCGTAACAAAACGAATAGTCGAATGTCCAATCTTCACCGAGTCACAACCTTTTACATGTATTCGAAAAAAAAAACCCCCACCGTTAAAAGCATTGACAATCAAAAATTAGTAACTACCATCAACTTACAAGATCTTTTCCACAGACTATAACATTTTAATGTTTAATGAAATATTAACCACGGAAATAAATTTATGGAGCCTTATTTAATATTTGTAATTGTTGGCGGAAGTTCCATGGACGGAGTATGATGTCCCACCGGAAGCTGTCTTTAACACTCGGCCATCCTGCACTGGTCGTGTCCCACGACCATCGTTCATCTCAAAATTCCTATTGGAGTTCTGAAAAAAAAAATAAAGAGGACACAGTAGTCTCCTGATATAACACTAAATAAAATCTACTATCTGATATCGTTTAATTTCCTCCCTTTCCCTTTTTATTCTTTTTGTGTTTTTAGTTAAATGTTCTCTTTTTTTTTTTCTTTTTTTTTTAAATACTTAGTTTGATATTTCTTTTGTGCTTAGTATGATAATTTGATCACACAGCCATTCTAAGTAGTAGCAGAATGTAGTAATTATATTAGAATTTGATCACACAGCCATTCTAAGTAGTAGCAGAATGTAGTAATTATATTAGAATTTGATCACACAGCCATTCTAAGTAGTAGCAGAATGTAGTAATTATATTAGAATTTGATCACACAGCCATTCTAAGTAGTAGCAGAATGTAGTAATTATAAGAGAATTTGATCACACAGCCATTCTAAGTAGTAGCAGAATGTAGTAATTATATGAGAATTTGATCACACAGCCATTCTAAGTAGTAGCAGAATGTAGTAATTATATTAGAATTTGATCACACAGCCATTCTAAGTAATAATCCATGTAGTCACACGAAAACAACCCTGTATCTTTTCAGACTGATTAGACTGCAGCTAGCATATACTGATGTGGACTTGTTCACACAGCCGTCTTTTGTTTCACAGGGAGTAATTTAGTTTATTGCAGTGGTATCACTTCCACTATGTAACTTTTGTGCTGACATACTCAATATAGGTAATAATGTACACTATTTTTAAATATAACACTCAGTCGCTCTAATCAATTTATTGATATAATATTCATTACACGATTTTTATCTTTATCTACATCTTCAAATCATACCTACTAAGGGAATAGTATTTTTCACTCATCTGGTCTGTACACTTTTCCGTTTGTGATTACAATATATTTAATGATGTTATTAATCAATCCTTTTAAATCATAACAAAATTACATGCTTTTATTTTAAACTATGAGTATGAAGTTTGTTCAACTTTCAGTATTAATAACTAACTACTGCAACTGATGTTATAAATTTCTATGTTGAAAGACTTACAAATGATTACATATTAGGTTGTCGATTTCTTATTATATAGGTAAGTACAAACTTAAGCAAAATATTATAATAAAAATAAACTATTTGGTTTCAATAATAAGTATTGTGAGTTATCTGTCCCTAACGTTCCTATAAATCGTGCACTAAAACAAATTAACTTTCTAACAGGTCAATCAAATCATCGCGATCTACTTCGTGGTCACTACCAGAAGTGTCATCATCTGAAATAGTAGTTTTGTAGGGCCGAAGGGATTCGCCTGTAACAACTGCACTAAATCGTCTATAACCCTTCATACCCTTGATGCTGGTTATAGTGTAACGATTTAACAAATGATCGGATTTACATACCTTGTAAGGACCTGTATATAAACCATCGAGTTTCCTTGTGACTTTAGCAGAGGAATCTCTAGATACTCCCCCTTTCCATAAAACAAGTTGTCCAACGTTATATTTCGTACATTTCTTATGTCTTTTATCGAACCTACTTTTCATGAGAGTCATATTTCTATCTATGCGCAATTTAGCAGTTTGCCTTCTATCTTCTAGATTATGTCTCTGGGATTCTGAATCTAGAGGAGCATCTATGGGATAGGCCGGGAAACGTGAATTATTATGACCAAACATAAGAGAAAACGGAGTAATGCCCGTAGTAGCATTGGGAGTATTGTTAATACCCCAGACAACGTCAGGCAATTTATTATCCCATGTACATTCGCTTTCTGTCATTGTATTTAGCCCGTTCAATAAAGTGCGATTGACTCTTTCCACTTGACCGTTCGAACGGGGACTCGCTATAGCATTTAAAATATGTTTAAACTGCATCTCTTCAGAAAATTGTTTGAAATAACGGCTTGTGAATGCTTTTCCTCTGTCAGTAACTACTCTTGAGGGATTTCCGAATTGATAGAAAATTTCTTTCATAATTTGGATGCTTTCAATCGAACTACAGTTTTTAGCAGCTTTCGCAAATACAAACTTTGTAAAAGAGTCTATTACTACCAGGACATAGGCGTTTCTTTGGCGGGTCTTGACAAATGGGCCTAGATGGTCCGCATGCAATGTATGCATAGGGACGGCAACCTTAGGAATAGGATTGAGCTCTCCTTCTATTCTACCATGGTTACCTTTTCCAAAAGCACATTGTAAACAAGAGTTGATGTACTTGCGTATGAAACGGGTCATTTTGGGAAACCAAAACTGTAACTTAATGGAATTTTCACATTTTCCAAAACCCGGGTGCCCTATTTGGTCATGCATCTTTTGTAACAACCCATACTTAGCTAATTTTGGAATTACAAATCTCTCCCCGTCCAAAGTTTTTCTAAACAAGATACCATCTTTCTCTATGTAATTAGCTCTGATATCCGGATTCGTTTCTGGATTACGCAGTTGGGA